TTTCACATGCTCGGGTTCATCCTTAGTATTCTTGATTCCAAACCGATTGGATATGTAGCGGGAGGGATTGAACGCATCCGGGTCGTCGAAAACTTCTGTGTCGTGAGAAATAGCCCAGGTATTGAGAATAATGGTTGTTCCCTTTGGTATATAAAACCCCTGAAACGAATCGTCTGTCGTAGTTGCATGGGGGATACTGGTGGGAAAGCCAGGTCGCCACCGCAATGTCTACAGTGTGTAGTAGCGGCATTAGTACAATACTCATCTTCGAATTTGCTCGTTGAATAGTAAAACATGGATTGCTTACTTCTAGGAAACAAGCTTTGAGAAATGGTAACCTCTTTGCATCTGCTGCGCAGGGTAACTGGTTGGCTCCGAAAACCCGATCGACCTCCTCCTGAGCTTGTTTTTGTATTTCAGGAAACGAGGCCATGGCAAGGATAAAAGTCTCGAAAGCCATTGCGGTTGTATCCGCACCACCTTCCATGAGAAAGCCACCAATGTAATCCAGCTCAAGCTGTGTGTACACGCCTTTGTCTTTACCAGATTGAACTGCTCTCGCCTGATCTTGTATCAGCCTCGACATGAAACAATCTTCTGATTTCCTGGCCCTCAGCCTGGCCTCGGTCTTCATGAATAGCTCATGATAAAAACTACTCTGTTTCTTCTTCAGGAACTCAGCCCTCGCTTTCCAGCCTCGCCATGGAGTGAGGAAATCAGGTATGTATCGGAGCCACGGGAAGACTTCTATTGGCGGAAGAGCCCCTTGATCCAGTATCCCGGCCCATTCATCTTGGATGGCAAAGAAGCGCATCACCGTGCTCTCGGGTGTTGAATCCTTTCCCCGGATACCAAAGACGCTCGCAAGAATCACGGCACCAAAGTACCGCATCACGAACCGGTGATATGCCGCATCTCCGTCCGAGGTGCCCGTTAAAAGTTCCCACATCATCTGGCTGCTCTCTGCCTCCTGAACCTCTACCAAACTGACAACCTCTTTGTCGTTGAGGAAGTCGACAATTGTCTTTCTGGCTCGTCGCCACTTGGGTCCATAACGAGCAAAGACGAGGTGGAGATCAGTACCCGGTGGGTTTGGGATGACATAGTCTGCGGCAGCAACATACGGACGATCAGAATAAATTGCGCCTTTACCGGGAGAATCGAGAAGATCACGAACGTGGTTCCACTTATTGAGGACCACGGCCCGGGAGTTGGGACCAAGATGAAGACCGACTAGACCATCTGGAGTACTAGTTTCTAAAGAGCGAGACCAAGACGTGAAAGCCAGGAAAGCTTTCGTGAGCGGAAGCTGATGTAGGTTTCCTAGGTAAGGGAGCGCCTTTGGGCCTTTGGGGAAGGGAGCTTGGCCGGAGGTGATCTGCCGCGGTTTGAGGCCCTGTGCGAGAAGAAATCCTACCGCAAGAATTCCTAGAGCATAATATATCAGTGCCATAGCTGTGTTCCAAACTGACTTTTCCGCCAGTACTACTACGTAAAATGAGTCTTTGGGGTGTGGTAGAAGTGTAAGGGGCTAAGTCGAGGGGGGGAGAGTTTTCAGGTTATCTTTAGGTGAGGGTTAATATGCACATCTATGTGCGTATGCGCACAGCATCCGCAGACCGCGGAAGCTGCTTTCCGGGGTCAACAAACCCTGACGCATGTGCCTACCAACAGCCTTGACTCCCAACTGAACTGGAGACCATCCTGGCAAATAATCTCTAAGAGAGTTTCCTCCTCAAATGGTAGATCAGTGCTTGTCTCTTGAAGATGAGGGGCCCTGTGACTATCTGCGGTGTAACTCCACGGGCATAAAGAAGAATGCAGTCAGATGCAAAGCAACCAATGAAAGTCACTCGAAAATAGCCGGTTCCGATGAAATGAGTAAGCAATACCGCCGTCTCTTCTATACATTCGTTGGTTTGGTACTCCGTCATCGACTTACTTCAAGACAGTAAGGAACTTCACCGCAAGAATATTCAGGAGAATGCTCTTCGGTATGAACTTCAGAATCTGAAATGCGCAGGCTGGCCACAGCTCAAGTTCAAGTAGCAACAGCTTAATACTGGGGCAACGAGGAAAGTCCTCAGAGCCTAGACTGAGGTGTCATATCCAGCTAATGCCTGACGCTAGTCACGACGCAAGCTGGATTCGTTCGAACAATGAAGTGCCAGTAGTTTTCAATTTGCTATTATCTTGACTCCATAGTGACAAGAAGTTCTTCAGTTAAAACCGCTGCCACCCATTCTCTTCTTTGAGGGAGTTTGACACGCTGCCATCCATTTGAAAATGTAGCAATGCCTTCCGTGCAATTTGAATAAGGGCCGTACTGGTGACGCCGGATGCGGAAGTTTCGAATCACTTCAGAGACAGAGAGATAAAGCTCATAATACGAAAAACTTTAAATTTGTTAACACATTTCCATTTTAGATACTATGAAACATATTAACTTACTGAGATCCCATGCATACATTGGCGCCTTTGGAGAATGGGATGTAAAAACGATCTCTCAGGTCATCTTCGCGGAAATCTGACCCATCTGAGGTCAACCATCGATACGGGTCGTATTCCTCCGGACTTGGGAATGCCGTCTTATCTCGCAAATACCAGATTGGCGACGATGTGAGAACAGTCTGATCAGAAAATATCCTTAGTATGGTGGCCACCAGCTAGCGCTTTTACAGAGAAGTTTAGAGGTTAGACGTACGCCTCCTGGAATGAGATGTCCACACAGTTTGATCCCCCCTTCCGGAACGATGCGTGGCAACATCGCTGCGGCTGCACCTGCCCAGCGGATGCCTTCTTTGACGCATGCTCTGAGTTTTGCTACGCTCTCAAGGTTAGTCATGTCGGTCGAGAATCCGACTCTGGCGAGATCCTGGTAAAGTTCCTCCTGAAATTGGCCATTATGTGCCAGCGCCCAGAGAATGTGGGCAAGACTAGCTGACGTTGTGTCTGTCCCCGGTCCGAGATTTTCTTTAGCTTCTGACAAGGCTGTCTCTGGATGGAGTCCCGATCGAACCAATGTCTTGACAAGATTAGGCGTTGTAGAAGACGCCTTTTCTTGTGCAAGAGCTTCCTCCCAGCTTGAACGTGCCCACTATCACAGAGTCAGGATAAAGCGTCGTAGGCGTATAGCAAAGAGAAAGATATGCATGACTACTTAACTACTCACCGCATCGAAGTTGTGAAGATGTCGCCCGTATGGCGATCTGTAGCCACAAACTAGATCGAAGATGTCCTCAAGAGATTCCCACAAACCGCAAAGAGTGGGAAAGTTCACCAACTTATTGTTCTTAGCATAAAGTCAAGAAATCTGTGGAAATCGCAGACTCATATTCACCATCGGCATCCATGTTGCTTTTCTATCATTTGCCTCCACCATGCCCAAGGAGCTACCCTGTTGCCAGGATGCGACAGCCCCGATAGGTTTTCCAAAAGAGAACATTGCTGGAAAGGTCAGGTACATATACATGCGCAATTGAGACAATTCTTACAGATAATGTCCGCCTCCAAGGCTCTGCATGCAGGCATTAGATCAAAGGCTCGATTTCTCTGCTTTATAGCCGCAACGAGCTCTGCGACCTGCTGAGCCATCAATCCTTCTAAGTGTTCCATCTTACTACGGTTGAAAAGTTGTCCCATGAGTCTTCTCCTTTTTGAATGCTCTGCTGGATCTCTATGACAGGTCAGTAACACAGAGAATCAACCGAATTCCAACGATAAGGGTCCACATACGTGATCGAGAAGAGGGCCGGGTGGCCATCCTGAACAAATTCTCCATATACTCTCGGATCCTTTTTGAATTTGCTGCCGACTTTAAATATTATGTCATATACATCCAAAGAGTAGAATGAGACTTCATTTGGACTTATACGAATCAAGGGGCCTGCATATGTTCAGCCGGAGTGAGAACTTGTGTGATATGCATTGCGCAGTGTCGTTCAAGAGTCACTCACCTAGGTGTTCATGGAGCAGGGGAAGGTCCAATGTCACCTTCCCAGAATGCTCTTTCAAGAACGCCCACGCCAGTCGCGAGTACGGCGCCAGAGGGTAGGCGTTAGGAATACTTGATAGGGGTGACCTCTTCAAACGCAGGCTCTGTACATGGCGTCAACGCTGGAGATGCATGCATGTTACGCTAATGCTAGATAGGTACCTTGACGAGAATGAGAAGGATAGCCAGAAAGGCAAGTGACAATGTTGCGGCAAAAAACATGGTATGGCTTTTCTGTCGGTTCAGCCTCCTTCTTGGCTTTGCTGAATAGTTCCCGTCTCGGCAGTTGGGTACCGTACCATGAACACACCTTGTTGAGAAGTCGAACAGGGGCAGGAAGTCTTCTTCATATGAAATAAGAATACTTGGCAGGGCTGAACAAAGTAAGCCACTACACGTGGAAGACCATAAGACAGAATGCAGGAACAATTGCATCAAAGCCCCTGGTGATGACGCTATAACCTAAGCCGTCTAAGATATTGCGTGCTTGGCGCATGTGGAGATGGCAGCACTTTGACACACATCGTTTCACCAACGAACCGAGGCAGATTTTAGTCATTCTCTCACTCGGCCCCTTTGCTCACGGGCAAAATATCGGTATGAGGTTGCATGAGCAAAATTAGACTGTCTTGCGATTTAGTGAAAATAGAGCAGTTGAGAGGAATTTCCAATCCGAATGGCTACGCACGGCTTCCCATTGGTCTTGTTTGAGATCTCGCGAACTAGACTAGTAGCAGCATTCTGACCTACCGAAGACTTTCACGCTAGTAGACTCTACCGAGTGTACTCGGTCTAGCCGCCTCGGCGTCTTTTTCAGAATTCATGCTAGGGCCCGATTGCACCATCACTGACCATGCTTGATTGAGGCTGCACCTTGATGTGAAGCGCGTCCAAAGCTTCTAGACTTAAAGTCAGGACTCGGCTACATCGTTTTCGGCGCATACTGATTTCGGTCATCCAAGCTCAAGCTCTTCAGCTATCCAGCAAAGTTTGCGAATCAGCCGCCATGGTCGACCAAGAATCGCTCAAAGCTCCCCCAGGGGAGGTAATCAACGGCATTGAGGGCGAGGTAGATCAGAACACGTCCGACTCCCAAGTACTGGTAAGAAATTTGCAATGCAGAATATTTGATATCATGGAATTCCACTGACAACAAAATAGGAAAGCCTCGGTTATAAACCAGTATGTGACATTTTGGGGGAAGCGTTATCCCGACATTTTATTAAATTTCCAATAGGTCCTCAAGCGAAGCTACAATCTTTTTCATAACTTTGCCACAACATTCGGTGTGTGATCAAGACTGCTTTAATGGGATCGTTTGCCGCAAGCTGACACCATACATAGCTGCTCTCTACTTCGTCGGCGGAGTTCGCGTGACTTTCTCAACCGGTATAGCAGCAGGCGGCAACTTGGCGTATTGGTGAGCTTTGCCAGCTTCCTATTAGAGCTGATAGTCCAATGTCGTTGCTAACTCGAGACATAGGACGAGCTTCCTGGTCACCTGCGTGTTTACATTTATCTCCGCCGCAGTTATCGCCGAGATTTGTTCATCACTCCCATTGGCTGGATCCATTTACCTCTGGGCTGCCGAGTCTGCTGGGCCAAAATGGGGCAGGCTGTTTGGATTCATTGTTGCGTGGTGGAGTACTACGGCATGGACGACTTTCTGTGCCAGTAAGTAGCGTTTAATAGCGCAGACTACAACAACGAACTCCTCGAGAACCAGAGGCTTCCCGAGACGAGACACTTGGCTAACATAACCACTATCAGGCAACACCCAGGGAGCCGTTAACTACATACTGTCTGTAAGTGGTGACTCAAGTAATCATAAGCTTATAGTCATGATGCGGTCTAGCTAATGAAGCCGACTATAGGAAATCGTTGTCTTTGACCTCGACTTCCCCTCCGATACGAGTAGTGTCAAGTTCAGAGCAGTTCAGTGGATTTGCACTGAAGTTCTGCTTGCTGCAGCTGCTCTTTGGAATCTGATGCCGCGTAAGTCAATCTCTCACTTCGATATAGTTCAGACCTGGCATCTTATAGCTAACGTATTGTTCAGCCCGTTACTTCAAGTGGATTTTCACCCTGTCCACGGCCTGTGTCATCCTAGACTTCTTATTGAACATGATTTGGCTACCGATAGCTACCAGCAAGACTATTGGATTTCGATCAGCTCATGACGCCTTCATGACAACCTATAATGGAACCGGAGCTCCTGCCGGGTGGAATTGGTGCCTATCCTACCTTGCCACTGCCGGCATTCTTATCGGATTTGACGCATCAGGCCATGTAGCCGAGGAGACCAAGAATGCGTCGATTTCTGCAGCAAGAGGTATCTTCTGGAGTACATTCGTCAGCGGTATCGGTGGCTTTTCTGTTGTTATCCTTTTCTTATTCTGTGTTGTGAGTACTATCACGCACCCCTTCGCCAGCCGTTCCCTTCTTTGAAACTAATCGTTGATCAAATATCAGCCTGATGCCGATACGCTTTTTTCATTCGGGGGTGCGCAGCCCTTCGTTCCGCTTTATGCCGTCATCCTCGGAGATGGTGGGCATATCTTCATGAATGTTATCTGCGTTGTGGCATTGTGGTTTGTACGTATCTCCAAGTCCAGCTTAAGCCCCCTGAAGTAATGAACAATTTATTAACAACAGTGGCCTAAATTAGAACACCGCCATTGCTATTCTTGCCGCGTCTCGACTCGTATTCGCAGTTGCTCGTGATGGCGTCCTCCCCTATTCCGCCTGGACCTCGCGTGTTATTGATGGCCAACCCCGCAATGCCGTTATTGTGGTCTGGGTTGTAGCCTCCATCGTCACATGTACTATTCTACCGTCTTCTGCCGCTTTTACGTCGTTAGTCTCGGCTGCCGGAGTACCTTCCGCTGCGGCGTACGGTCTTATTTGTGCAGGAAGGCTGTTCCTGACCCCCAAGCAGTTTCCAAGACCTGCTTGGAGCCTGGGCCGTCTCAGCAAGCCGTTTCAAGTCATCAGTCTGTTCTGGAACGGCTGGATCGTCGCGGTGCTTTTCTCCCCGTATATCTTCCCTGTTGAGGCGTCTACATTGAATTATGCGCCGATCATCATGGCGATAATAACGATTTTTGCCGTCGTGACTTGGTGGTTTACCCCTGAAGAAAGTTGGCTACCCAGCAAAAGGATTAGGCAAGCTCTTGAAGCTGAGATCTGAAGTTGAACGGATAAGATCCTGCTGCAACTCAACAACGAAGATCAGTGGAGTTCAAGTCCGTTTGTGAATCTCGAGCGTGTCGGTTAGAGAAACGGGTCGCGCGCCGGGCATCGTGAATAATTGTGGAGTTGAACATGGAGGCTAGTTATTATAGAAGATAACAACAGGATAGCTTTATTCCAAGGAATAAAGAGAATCATATGTATAGCACATGATGCCATCACCTTTACCGCTTGAAATGTCCATAACATCTCCAACCGTCACATTAGGTGCACTTACACCCAGAGTCATAACAAAATCCAACGTCACATTTCCCCCTTGAACATTCTCATAATCCATGAGGAAGATGGGACCGGATATATCATCGAGTCGATTCTGTAGATCATATGTCTGCCAAGACCACCAAACACGATCAAGGTTGGCATGGTGTAAAAAGAATATCGGATCGGACGGCGAAGCGTACAAGTCGCCCATCTGGCCTTTTCTTTTCTGTCACTATTGGTAAAAGCGAAAACGGCTTGTCAACTCACCAAATGTTCCCCCTACGCCGTAATGGCCACCACCGTGAATTCCTGATGCATCGAAACTAGGACCGCCTTCGACCACACGGGTGAACCAACCATAATCGGTTTGAGACAATGTCAACTGAGTCTGGTTCATTGCCAAGTATCGATTAGCAAATGTGGGGCTAAGGTCTCGTCGAAGACATTGTGGATTGTAAGCTACTGCGCTCTGAGGGCCAAGATGCACCATAGATGAGTCGTTTGCAAATGGGCCGTCTAAGACGCAGCCCCCACCAGTACGACCAGGAACGGCGAACGGATCAGATGCATTGCCTTCAACATAGGGGCCATTTCCACCAAAGCCCAAATCTGCATCAAAAACCGGTGATTGGGGGAAGTCCTAGGGATCATGTGTGTCGAGAGTCCAGTCCCAATACGGCTGCGCCCCGGAATAGCCGCATTCGTTTCGAAGCATATGCTCATATGTAGCAGTGAAGTACCGATGCCACGGTAGAAAGTGGCCTACATAATGAATGCTGAATGTCTGCTGAATGTGCGTATAAACTAAATCATCATAGCGAGAGATGACTCCAGAATCATTGAAAGGCGGTGTGAGCGCCGGCTTCTCTACAGTGCACTTCACAGCATTTAGGTATTCTGCTCTTTGAGCTGCAGAAAGCGTCCGCCTGAAAATTCAATCCGTCAGGATATCAATTGATGAATAGGCGAAGTAAATATGAGAACAGGACATGGACACCTACCATTCCTTCCTCACAACCTGTTTGGTGCAAGTACACAAAGCTTGAGGAGAAGTAAACAGGGTACCAAGCACAAGCAAGATTGTTTGAAGCCGTGCCATTCCCAGACGACCAATATAGAAGATGTCAGAAATTTAATCGCGAATTCGACACAATAGTCAAGTATGTAGGAGGAATATCGACTCCCATTTCTTGATAATACTTTCGAAAACAGAGACTTTTCACTTCAATCGAGCAAATGATTCCATATCCGCGTCTCGGCAGGCAAGATTAAAGGATCACTAGTGCACATCGGTTATTCTCTTCTGCATAATACTGTCGTGTTGCCCCGATCGTGCCTCGTGGTAACCGAACGCCACCCGGGTGGTCGACAGCTCCGGGTACCGTTGCCAAACTGGAATACCAACTTTATTCAGCTAGCGGGCTAGTCAGGTTACACCGCAGATATTAAAGTCAGTGGTCATGGTTGCTCGGCCTTTTTGTTTCCCTTCGCAGGGTTATTATCGCCTTGAATCTGAGCTCAACGAGACGAAAAATCCTTATCGTGGCGTACCATCTTTGGGGGAGAATATAAATGCTTCGCTAGGGTATTCTAAAGTATCTTATAGATGTCTATCTGTTTATTTACTCAGAAACGGTATGAATGACCTAAGCTACGCCAGGAGCCCTTCGAAGTCAATCCCATTCTTGGTTTGGGCCTCGCCATTAGACTGGGGGCTTTTAAATTCTTTCTCCTGATTCTTAGTGGTCTCACGCTTTTCGTACTCTTCTACGACCTCCAGAAACCTTGCTTCAACATCATGCTCTGCCAGCCATGAAGGGTCCGGACGGCCGTCTATCCTCTTCCGAAGCTCCTCGTCTGTCTCGGATGCTGTCTCTGCGCCTTCCCAAGGCTTTCGATAGCCCGAGTGTATGATTGACAGGAGTTTGTCAATATGTGGTTTGCGTGTCTTCTCGTATAAATCTAATGCTTTCCTGATTTGTCCAGGAGTAGGCTTCTCCAGACTCCCGGGCGACCAAGCATATGACAAGCCAAGAACAAGCGCGTATGCGTCGTTAATAGCGAGTGATCCACCGGCAGCGAACGCACCACCATGTGTGTGGGCTGCATCGCCGAGGAGGACGACTCTGTTCTCAAATGTGAAATGGTCGAGTCCAATGCCAGCATAGTTGGGATAAAGACGTGTGTACGGCACTCTATTGACGATGGCTTCCACCATTGGGTTCCAGCCCTGAAGTTTATCTCGTCAATCTCATAAATTGCGGTGAGGAAGGGACTTGCGCCTTACCTTGTAGTAGTTCCTCAGAACTTCCAAGTCTCCAGGCTCGCTCCATTTTGTGTCGCGAAAGTCTGCGTTGGGATCCCCTGGGTTGCAATGATACCCTCCAACCACCGTATACTGATTCTTTCCTGTGCCCAATCGTCAGTTTGGATCGTATGAAATACTCAAAGTGGCAGTGTTTTGCATACCTAACCTCGATGCAAAGAGAGTCCTCTCATGACCGACCCAGAAGATAGCATCTTCAGGAAGGCCTTCCACATCATCCAATACCGAGGCGTCAAAGGCCGACCGGAATGCTACCCACCCCGTCCACTTGAGCTCGTGCTCAGGGACGAACGTCTTCCGGACCTTGGAATGGATACCGTCGGCTCCAATCAGCAAGTCAGCATCGACGGTAGTGCCGTCCTCAAAGGCTACGGAAACTCCCGAATCTGATCCATCGGGACCCTTCTTCACAGTCAAGCCCACCAGCCGCTTCTTCAGCTTCAATTCGACCTTCTCCGGCAGACTATCCAGCAGCGCCCTCTGCAAATGCGCCCGGTGATACCGCGCCATAGCATGCCTCGGGTTTGGGACATCATGGTGCACGTCGTAGGCAATGACCTCGTCCGTCCGCCAGTGCCGGTAGACGGTAGGCCAGCCGCTCGGCTGCCGGAAGGCGATCTCATCGGACAGAGCGGCGTCCACGCCGAGCTTCTCGAGCACCCGCAGCCCGTTTGGCCCGAGGCCGATTGAAGCGCCGATCTCCCGGAGCTCGGTGGCCTGGTCGAAGACTGTCACCTTGATAGACCCGGGGTACTTGTGGATCAGCGCGATGGCGGCCGTCAGCCCGGCGATGCCCGCGCCGGCGATGGCGACGTGGAAGGGCTCATTCCGAGGAGGCATTGTCGGTCTGTCTACTGCCTCAATGTGCTAGGCAATCTGCAGCCGTATTTACATACCATCAATTGTTGAGTTCAAATGGCAAAAAGGACGGGCATGGCTTTATAAGAGTGCCGGTCGCGGCCGAGCTCCACGCTCGGGAGGAGCCGTATCTCAAGAGAGGTTCATGATAAAAGTGGTAGCCCACGGCGCAGGTTGCTTCAATCCAGGCCCGTTATCCGGAAGACGGCGTCGGCTTAGCGCAATTTCGGCGCCATGCCGAATCCCCATTTCTCAATTGCAGATAACACTCGCTTGTTACAATGCATCTATCACTACTCGAGGCCTTTCCCTTGACCTAACGTCTAAATTAGACTGCGACAGTATTCCTCAATCATCATAGATCTAATGGGCAAGAATTTAAGTCTTGAGCCATGTACTCACAACACGCTCGCCTGGTAATATTCAACACGGTGGGGTCCAAGATGAAAGCGATTAACAGGCAAACTGGCACAGTCAATGATATTCTCAGCGTGTTCTCGTTACGTCTACTTGTTACAATGATTACTTGACTCTCGAGAATGTGCTTGGCTCTAGATTGATTGTGGCTGGACCAGCTCGCTTACTGGTGATGTTGGAAATGTTGACCCATCCATGACATGGGTGACGGATTGCGCAACCCTTAGGCCACATCACAACTTCTCAACTGTCAAGGCATCAAATTAAACTGCCATTTAGATTCAAACCATCTCGACACGCTGTTGGCAATGTGTCCTTCTCCGAGTTCTGGCCAGATTGGCAGCATCGTGGAGGCCACGCAACACGACTCAAGGCACCCAAGACTGCCGCCTAGACTAAGAGGATAACCGTGTCAATGCGAGACTTCAGTGATACGTGTTGTATTTAGGACATGAGGCTTCATATTTCAAAGAGTCCCTGCCACATAATCGAATGAGTTGGTCTACGAGTCATCTTGTTATCGTTTTCACTGCTTTTCAATCAACTATACTGTCTATTACCTCACGACTCGGCGCACTCTATCGATGCTGGAGAGTAAGAGGAAGGAAGTTTGTGGAGAGTGTCCGGACTGAGCTAGCGCATGACGTAGGGCTTATCGCTGGGTCGGCTTCAGGCGGCAATTGGAGATAAGCACCAAAAAGTGTGGTGGGGTTTTCCGGGGGTAGACCCTGCAGCGCCTACTGCGCCTCTAGCACGAGCGAGTGTCTTAGCACCTCACTGCACCTCAGCAGCTGGGAAGGCCCCTCAAGTGCAGCGTCCGCGTGCCACTATCTGAGCCTCTAAGCCTGTTCCCCCGCCTGTCAGCTGCTGAATCTACGACCCTAGCGCTCCTTGCTTTACGTCTGCTCTTCACCTACCTTCGCCGGGCTTGTCTTGCATCCTCCTGCTCACCTTCTCTCTACCTTCAAGTTTCAACACACCTCACTTATTCCTCTCAGTTTGCGACTTCGACGTCTATTCCCGCTTGAAACATCGCCCAGTTCCCGTCGAGAAATGCTTCTGGAGTAGAAGTGGTCGCCAACATGTTTGACCCCTTCTCCCACGTCTTATCGTGTGTACTCCCCCCCTCGATTGCGATAACCTCACTCAGCCCCGCATTCGTCCGTCTCTACAATGCAATGGAAGAGACAGCAACGCGCACATTGCTAATACCAGCGTCCACAGCTCCATCGCCTCGTTCCTCTTCCCCTTGTTCGCCTCCTACAAAGCCCTCAAGACTTCCGATCCGGCTCAGCTTACACCATGGCTGATGTACTGGGTTGTTCTGGCCTGCGGTCTGCTCGTTGAGAGCTGGGTCGAGTGGTTCCTCGTCTGGTGAGTATACCATACACCTTAGTCCTGCGTCGTCGCATATGTGCGAGGGACTGACACATACTGTTTCCAATCCACAGGATTCCTTTCTACGGCTACATCCGCCTGCTCTTCCTCCTCTACCTCGTCCTGCCCCAGACCCAAGGCGCCCGCGTCATCTACACCACCTACCTGCACCCGTGGCTCGAGGACAATGAGAGCCAGATCGAGGACTTCATCGCCACTACCCACGACAAGATGAAGACCGCCGGCATCACCTACATCAAGCGCGCCATCGAGGCCGTCCGCGTCAACGTCCTCGGCCTGCCCCCGAACCCGCAGGCCGCCGCCACCGAGCCTCCGGCCGCTCCCGCAGCACAAAGCTACACCCAGGCCCTCCTCGCCCGCTTCACCCTCCCCCAGGCGCGGTGGAGCGGCGGCGCGGGCAGCACGGGCCAGGACTTCTACAACCTGCTCGCCGGGGCCGTCAGCGCCGCCTCGGCGACGGTGTCGAGCGCTGCTGCTGCTGGGAGCGGCGGCGGCGCGGCGGCAGCGTCCTCGTCCGGCGCCGCGGACCCGGCCACCGGCGCAAGCATGAGCATGAGCGCATCCGGCACGCTGATCCCGCCGAACATCCGCGGCACCTCGGAGAAGATCTCGTTCATCGCGGCGCAGCGCGAGCGGCTCAACATAGTCCTGTCGGCGCTGGACCGCGAGGCGAAGCAGCTCGAGAGCGGCAGTGGCGGACGCCCCGAGGCGGAGCGCAGGCCGTCGTCGATCGCGCGGGACCTGAACCTGGACCTGGCAGGGGACGACGAGGAGCCGACGCAGAGGCCGGCCAGCGGGCTGAGCAAGAGTCGTAGCGAGGCGGACTTTGAGAAGATCGATGCCGAGAGCGGCGCCGAGGAGGACGAGGGCCGGACGCCGGCGGTCACGAGCGGCGGGAGCTGGCTGCCATGGGGATGGGGCGGTGGGAGTGGCAGTGGAAGTGGAAGTGGAAGTGGTGGGACGCCGGCCGAGGAGCATAAGAAGTCCGAGTAGGCTTCTCTGTTGTATCTGATATTTCGGGATCGGTTTGGAGTTTTATACGGGTATACTACCACTGCGGTATGGAATTGCTAGATAGCACTCTGCAGAGGATCGTCACTTGATCCATGAATGCAATGGCGACATATCACTACTTCAATCAATGGTATTTGTAAGGCGTATCAGGGGAGGTGTGCCATGCCCGACAGCCAGATACATCGCTGCCAGAGTAGTGCATTTATTCTTCTTTCGTCTTTGCCAACTATCGTACATGTGAGCTGCTGGTATCATTGCCACAACGCCGTCTATACCTTGCTTTGCATACAAGTAACCACATTACCGAGATATATATACCCGGATCGCCTACCAGCCGATACTGCGTGCTGGTCGAGAGGTCTGCCATCTCCATCGCGCATTCGTTCGTCCTCATAGTAGATCAATCCATTCTCTCGCTGCTCTATTCGCAAACAACAGAGCGATCCAGACCTCTCTAGCTCTTCTTGTACGGATACGCGGGCTCCTCGTCCTTGCGCACCCAGATCTGGCGCTTCTTCTTGTTGACGACGTGCTCGACCCAGATCTCGCGGGCGTGCTTCTTCTTGAACTCGCGGATGTAGCGCGGGTCCCACAGCTCCGACGCGATGCCCAGGTCCTTGGAGCAGCGCATCAGCGCGTTCGACTTGCAGCCCTCGCCGGCCGTCGCGATCGTGTCCTCGCTGAAGTACTGCATCTCGCCGCGCGCCTGGGCGACGAACCTGTGGAGAAGAAGGGTCAGTGGGAGGAAAAATGAAAAGAACGGGCCGGGGCCGCGGCCTCGTGAAGGTACAGAGGCAGACGAAAAAACTTACCTCCCGTGCACGACGAGCGCATACTCCCTCGTCACCACCCTGTCGCCCACAAACAGCTCGCCCCGCGGGGCCATGCCCCAGCCGCCGGGCCCAAAGGCATTGTTCAGGATGCGCCGGTACTTGATCTCGGGCAGGTAGATGATGCCGTCGGGCTTGATCTCGACGTCGTCGAACTCGATCGGCTTCATGAGCACGGCGGCCACGTCGGGGGGGAACGACTCCGTCGACAGGCCGTGGAACGAGCGCGACCAGTCAATGGCCTCGCCGGTGCCGTTGCCGTTGCCGTTCCCACTGCTGCCGCCTAGGGCAGAGTCCGGGCCCGAGATCGGGTCGAGGAAAGGCGAGGAGGCAACGTGCTCAGAGACTTTGGCGGTCGGGGTCGCTGCAGGCTGGGGTTTTCTCTGGCTTGTGCGGGCGGGCGTCGAGGAGGCGGCCGCGCGGGCAGCTGGAGTCTGGGTTGGAGGAGGAGGTCGTCTTGTCGTCTGGGAGGTGGAGATGGTGGCTATTGAGGTCGCGGCGAGACCATATGAGCTCTGTGGGGAGGCAATGCTGACGCAGCGCAGACTCTGAGAGCCCAGGCGCACTGGCCTCAGGGCCTGGAATAAGCTGGATCTCATTGTGAATGCTGGTTGCGGTGGTGAAACTGAAGATGCGCAGGTTGAGCTGCAGCTCCGCGAGTAGATATCGAGGTTTAAAAAATGGAGGAGCTTGGACGTCGGTGCCGCTAACTACTACTAACGTTAGGCCCGGCCACCGCCCCGTTGGTCAGTCAGTACGGCAGAGGCGAGCAGGGGGTTAGTTAGTCCATGAGATCATTCACAATGTTGAGAGAGATCAAAAAGAAGAGCAGAGTGGTACCTATGTCAATTGAGCAGAGCGTCCTTCCTGGTATCTTCGATACATGTATATAATGATACAATTTTTTATAATAACTACATACAGCTCTCATGAGGTTCTCTCCCTCTGTCTCTTTATGGTTTTGACTGAGGATCGGCATCCGTCATCGAGGTCCGCTTGTCGTTGCCGTGAGCTTTCCAGCAGTTCCTAAAATTCTCCATCTGCAAGTAGACGGGCACATTAGTACATGTACAACAAGTCCTCCAAATGTCGGCTGGGTAGTGTATCAACTCATCTCATTTCCCCTGAATATACAGAATTGCAGTGACCTACTTCTTCCTTGCATTGCCGCCAGTCTTTCTTCTCGTAGTAACAGTCTGTCATCTTCATGTTCTCGTCTGTAGAGCACGAACAGCTGCAATTAGCGCTGTGCCACTACTGATATCTGGAGGAACCCAGCGAGCCGGGTCGATCGATTGTGTTGGGGCTGCTGGGGATCTAAGATCCAATTGTTTGAGCTCACCTGCACAGCCTGTGCTGTAGATCCGCTTGTCCCTGCAGTAGCAGTCAGCTCAGCTCAGCTCAAGCCCCGAAAATTTTGGGGGTTTGCCAGCGGTTGAGGTTGGGGAAAAGCCGCCGGAGGCCGAAGGCTGCGAGAAGCTCCGGGGGAAGAGGGCATTCAAGGGCAATAAAGGGCGCATGCATTCGGGCGCCAGTTGCTGTGTGTCTGCTTACCATTCATCAGGCTCATCGTCGTCCTCTTGAGCGTTCTGCACGGCGTCGCTCTCGTTCTTGGACATTGTGTGTTTGTCTTTAGGTTGGAAGTGGGCTGATGAGGCGAGAGTTCAGCAGTGGCACGACACTTGGAGCCACCCGCGCGCGCGCGCCCCAATTGACCCGAGAGATCTTCTCGGTAGGTACTGTAGATCCGATCTCAGCCGGGGCCATAATAATCAACACATCAAATCTCAACCATCGCACAGTCGGGGATGGCTCCTCGGAAACTCAATGTGCTGGTATACACAGGTACAGTCATTTTCTTCCCGAATCAACGATCAGCGCTGCTGCTACGCTTTCGAGGAGAATCTCGTCGTTAACACCATCTCCCAGGCACCGGCACAACCCTGACCTCGGTCCGGCAGTGCATCTACTCGCTGCGGCGACTGCTCTCCCCCAACTATGCGGTGATCCCCATCGCAGAGACTGCCCTGCTCAAGGAGCCATGGGCGTCTACCTGCGCTCTGCTCGTCATCCCGGGCGGCGCAGACCTCGGCTACTGCCGCGTGCTCAACGGCGACGGCAACAGGGCCATCACAGCCTTCGTGCGCCGTGGGGGCGCCTACCTGGGCTTCTGCGCCGGTGGCTACTATGGCAGCCGGCGGTGTGAGTTCGAGGTCGGCAATCGCGCCATGGAGGTCGTCGGCTCGAGGGAGCTCGCCTTCTTCCCTGGCACGTGTCGCGGCGGAGCCTTTAGGGGCTTTGCGTATCACAGCGAGCAGGGCGCCAGGGCCGCCAGGTTGAAGGTCCGGAGGGAGGCATTCTCTAGCGCGGGAGCGGTGCCTGATGAGTTGAGGTGTTATTATAATGGCGGCGGCGTCTTCATTGACGCTGCAGCTGATGGCGTTGAGATCCTAGCTAGCTATGCCGATGACATTGATGTCGATGGTGGCGAGGAGAAGGCTGCCGTGGTGTACTGCAAAGTTGGAGAAGGGGCCGCATTGCTCACAGGGCCACATCCAGAGTGAGTGAGATCATGTCTTTTGATTATAGTGTGGTTGTGCTGACTCTGATAAGATTTGCAGCTGTCAACCTCGATTCACATCCTGAAGTAGATGGGTATGAGGACTTGAGGAAAGCACTAGAGACGGATGATGTTGAAAGGACAAACTTCCTCAAGGCATGTCTCACGAAGCTAGGTCTCGAGGTCAACCAAGACAGCTCGTCAGTGCCCGCATTGTCTAAGATGCATCTCTCCGCCTTGGATCATCAAGAAGTTGGCGGTCTATTGCATTCTATGAGTGACATTATCACTAAAGATGAAACCGGCGAGGAGCTGATCAAGGCTGAGAGCGATACCTTCCATCTTGAGCATCCCGACACACGATGGTCAGTTACCCATTTGAAGGACGCAATCTCATCAGCAATGCCTACGTCAACAAAAAGCGAGACAATTGATGATGTCAAATCGCCTCAGAAAGCAGCAAGTGATCCTGGTCTCATCGACTATGGCAAGATCGTCAAGAGCATCATTTCGCATGATGAGGTGTGGCCGCAAGCGAAGGAGACCCCCTACTTCAACCACAATCTGTATTACTCCAGCTTACAAGAGTACCGCCAACAAGACACGGAGGCGGAAGCGTGGGGTGACATACTCATGTATGGAGAAGTCGTCACTAGCACAAACACACTCCTTGAGAAGTAAGCAGCCTGCTGACTGTATGGCATCCTTACACTGACCAACAAACCCAGAAATCCAAAGTTGCTGGCCAATCTTCCAACGGGCTTTACTTTGTCAGCTACTACGCAGGTAGCCGCCCGTGGTCGAGGCAACAATGTCTGGATAGCGCCCCCAGGAGCCCTGATTCTCAGTACTGTGATCAATCATCCCGCACACCAGGCGGCGACCCGCCCCATCGTATTCATACAGTACCTAGCGGCAGTAGCGATCGTCGAGGCGATACAGCGTTACGGCCGCGGCTACGAGGGGCTGCCCGTGAAGCTCAAGTGGCCCAATGACATCTATGCGCGCGACCCGTCCAAGCCCAAGGACGAGCCACCGTCATATGTCAAGATCGGCGGCATCCTGGCAAATTGCGCGTACAGCGCCGGCAGCTACCAGATCGTCCTAGGCATCGGCATCAACACGAATAACGGCCGCCCGACGACGAGTCTAGACGCCCTGCTGCCGGCGTACAACCCCAATCTGCCGCCGTTCCGCATCGAGCGGCTGCTTGCGCGCATCCTCACGCGGCTAGAGACGCTGTACGGCCAGTTCATACGTCGTGGGTTCACACGTGAATTGGAGGAGAAGTACTATGAGCACTGGCTCCATAGTGGGCAGATGGTGACGCTGGAAGGAGAAGGAGGCGTCAGGGCGAAGGTTTTGGGCATCACGAGGGACTGGGGCCTGTTGAAAGCCGAAGAGGTCGGGTTTGATGGACGGCCGACGGGACGAGTGTGGGCTTTGCAAAGCGACGAGAACAGTTTCGATTTCTGGCGCGGCTTAGTAAAAAGGAAGGTCTAGAAAGGGGTTTGCACTACTAGAGAAATACGGCTCGGCGCCATCCATCAGGGCCAAGATTGGCGCTCGCAGCGCTGTGAACGGACCTGATGAGCAGTTCATCTTGTATAGGTCTAGACTCAAGTCCTAGACGAATTAGGCGTCGATGGGAATCAAAATACCACCAGAATCTACGGGACGCTGTGCGCTTAGACCTACACCCCAGCCTAGAGATGTCGTAATGGTCCACATCCCGCTCCGTTCACCATCACGAGTCGTCACCCGTTCCCCGCATTGACGGCTGCTGGGTGGATAGGGGGTGTGCGAGGTTGGGGTTTGACGGTCATTGTTCGCAGAAGCGGCGTGACGGAGGCGCTGGCCTTGTCCATGTCCGGTGCCGCATCTGCCGATCGGTTCGCGTGCTCCGAAGCAGATCAAGTCGGCCTCGCCACGTGGTGATTTGCGCAAGATCGGCTACGGAGACGACCTCTTTTCGCAATGCACACGTTCTCTCGTTGAGCATGAACATACACAGAATCAAGATTTGCCAGGCTTTAGTGGGACCAACAAGCCACACACACCATGAGAGATAACTCACATTTACATCGAGAGCGTATCTTCACCGCTCTGCAGCGGACAGTTTCTCCCCCGCCAAATGCCGCTTCTGCATGCAGCAACGCGGCCTACAGCAAGCCGCCATCGCATCCGCAGGGGAACACTTACATGCCAAGGCTCTCAGACTCACCACCCGATTCAACACACAGACGCACACAAGTGACTGGAGTCGGTAGACCCTGAAGAGACGTGCAGAAAGCTTCGTCGTCTTGCGCAAAAGCTTGAGTGTCTGCCGGTTTGTCAGGTCTTAGCAATTTGCCTTCCTCTCTGCCATGATCTACAGCCATATCGACCTTTCGTATTCGCCGTCAACACCGGACCAGGAATCAAGGCAAGTCGGGCCGGTGGGCGTGGGGAAACCAGGCGTCTTCGCTCCGGACAATATGTGACTATCTCAATCCCACGCTTACGGAGCAGGACTGGGCATATAGCGAGAGTCTATATAGCCAGATCATGTCCTCGTTATGTCTCCTTCGAGGCGTGGGACTGTCAGCAAACAAGTCAAGTGATGGAGTCCGGCATTGTGCGATAGAGTGAGTATTGGAAAGATAGATTGCCCCGCAAACCATCTCGCGGGGTCTGCCATTTTGCCTCAATTAGCACACCACCCACTGCCGGGCAAGGGCCCAATGGGGAGCATGCGCTTCCTGCACGGCACAGGTGCAAGCTGTGAGGGAGCATGCGGGATGGAGCTTGCTTGATGGTTCCCACACCATCAACCGTGCTACAGACGCATGGACAGGGTGCTAAGGTGCTACAAGCGGTGTCTCGTCTAAGTCGAAGCTTTTCATGGAGGCCCCAGAAGTATTCGACCATCTTGATTATCGAGCCCAGCAGGACTACACATAGTGTTCGGACCTGCAAGCAAGGCACGGTGACGCTCTTCCCGTGAGCTAGAAAACCGGGTGTGGAGGGGTGGTAAAGAGTTGTGTGGACAATGGATGGGAAATGGGAGCTATAGAAAGCAGCCGCGGATGCACTTTCGCGTACGAGATACCCTACCCAGCTCCCAGCCTTGAATTCAAATTTCTCCTCTATTGTAGGAAGAATCAGCTACCTGGAAGCCGGCCGAAAAGGAAACAAGAGCTACGAAGTGGCAGCTGGCTGGATCGTCACGAGAAGAAGTCAGGCTGCTTCGTAACAACAACATCGATGGACCGATGAAGCGAAGAGTCTCAAGGCCAAGGAGCAGAGACACTGATAGTTTCCCTCAGCGACATGGCTCTCTCATCAGCGCTGTCAGACACACCACTCAACCTCACCTACCCACTGGATACTTCCAACTCGAGCATCGGCATACATGGCAACCAGTCTAATCCGGTTTCTTCCCAGGTCGAGGTATATTGACTCTTGAAAGTCGAGATAAAGGATTTCCACTAACAGACCCCTTTCCCAGAAGGACAACACCAACTCTGCAATTCTTGCAGGCTTGCTCGTGCCGCATATCGTCTGCACAGTCTTCATACTCTCGCGAGTGTGGTCACGGCTGTACCTGTTGCGGAAATGGTTCCTCGACGATAGCCTGATAATTGCCGCATGGACTTTTTCAACAGCGGTTTGTGTCGTGTACTCTATTGCGGCCTCATCGCCACATATACGCGAAGCTGTCATCGTCAACTCCACATCCAATAGACATGATGATGACTTCAACAGTGACACTATCAAGCCCTACATGCTCCGGACCTACCTAGGTCTCATCTTCTACCAATTATGCCTATGTCTGACCAAACTATCCATATTGGCATTCTACCTGCGCATGTTCAACTCTCGTCCAGCAGAGCGGCGATTAGCATGGGCAACAGTGGTTTGGGTGCTGCTCTTCGGGATACCAATGCTGGCCATGAGCTTGTTCCAATGTCATCCTGCACCTGGCGAGTTCTTCGGACACCATATGAAGTGCTTCGGTTTCAATCCTTTACTAATCACCAGCGCAAGTTTGCATACTGCGACAGACGCGTGGCTCATCCTTCTCATCATACCATGCATCACCAGGCTCGAAATTTCACCGAGACAGAAAGCCGCGCTTGCGATCGTGCTCTCGCTCAGCATATTCGTAATTGCAGCGAGCATGACCCGGCTCCAGCTCAGCCTACATGGGAACTACCGGCCGAGCGGCGCGGGTGTTCAAATTACGAACACGCTGGCATTCTTCGTCATGACGATACTCGAGTGTGACATTGCGTTGATCTGCGCAAGTGCGCCGACACTGCGCCCATTACTTGCTCGCGTGTGGCCGCGACTAGGAATGGGAGAACCGGCCCAGCCATACCGGCAGCACTATGTCGACGGCGACGGCAACAGCGTCGATTTGACGTCGGTTGTCAGCTACCACGGCTATCCGTGGACACAGCCCACCACACCAATCATACGCAGCAAGAATGGTAGCATTGCGAATATGCATGTTCCCATACCAGTACCGCCCGTCCCCGTTGCGATGTCACTTGCACATCGCACGCCGACGACACTTAGTCTTCGAAGCTTCATGAGTAGCATCACACCTCGAAGCAGAGGCGCAACACTGACTGCCGGGGAGCGAAGAGCTGAAGACAGAACAGTGTTGTTGACTGACGACAAAGATGTCGAGCGACGGAGAAGCTCTGTGGGCTTTGAAGGGTACTACGAGCAGTACTGTGGATACGGAGAGGATGTCGGGAGAAGGAAAAGTAAAAGGCTCAGTGGTGTTGAGATCGGGCAAGGTAGATGGCGAAACAGCCAGGAAAGCTTCGTCGACCCGCTCAGCCCATATCGGCTCTCCCCGGTATCTGACATCAGTGGGACAACATATGCAGCGATTTCGGACCCGGAAAGCACGCAGAGAATGACGGCAGGAAGCCCGGACAGCAGGAAAGGCCCCGAGGGCGAGGAGCAGCCGACCCGGTGAAATCTGATCCAGCGTTGCTCAAACATTGGTGAAGCGAGCAGCAGGGGTCTCGACCAGATGAAAAGACCTTCGGATCAGCAACTCAAATCTACTGTGATATGACTTTCCAACTATATAATACAGACTCGAACCGCCTTCCATTCCTTCTAGAAAGAACCATACACTCGCACTTGTTGGTTTCCTTGAACCTCGACAGACCAGGGCGGATGACTGCTTTCCAGCCATATTCACGGCGTTCAGCGAGATATACCGCCAGCACCGGGCACTGATAAATTGATACCAGGCTTGATTCTTGATTTAGACCTATACATTGAATAAGAAGTCTTAAAAACAACCGTATCACTTGACCAATTCACTTGAAGAAAATCAGAACGGTAGTGCTAAGCTTTATGGGGACACATCATGGGGACTCTTTTCTGTAAGCCAGATAACAGCATGTAAACTAAAAAAATGTTGAGGTCTACTCATCGGAGGGAATGAGCTGCCAGGACCTTACCCAGGTCTTGTCGTGGTCTGTGGCTCGGCAAGGTCAGGGCTCTGACAAGGGCTGCAGCAGTCTCGGTAACCGGGAATCCGGATTGTAGAAGTTAGTCAGTGCAGGCAACCTGTACTCCAGATTTCTAGGAATGGTGCGGCTAAATATCCTCAATGCAGGGTTCCCCATATGCGAGGATCGAGAGTTCTAGTACGAGATGACAAGAATGCGTCCACCTTCACATGTCCTGAGCTTCTGGCAATCAAAGACTTTTCTAGGAACGGTTTAGGACTATGCTGGGGAACGGCAAGCGAAAAGTTTCAAAATACTTTCCAGAAATGAATAAGGCAGAGCAATGGGCTTCTGAAGGGCTGTCATCAGAGTCAACCAGCTTCTCTTCACATGGTCAAGGAAGTCAAATCTCAATGCGGAGTTCGAATGCTCGAAGACATCGAGGTCTCGCCACAAATTGATCCCAAAAATCGGACGGTTTCCAATTGGATGCAGCTCTTTCACAGGGTCCTTCAGCGACCGACAACCCCTGGCCTTTTCTAACACCCCGCATAACAACAGCATCCGAGCACCACGCCTGACCTTGGTACTTAGATGAAAGGGCCTGTCTCACACGTTCCCGCGTCTACTCGCCACTCATGCCTGCTGCTTCCCGCTCTCAATTGCTGACGAACGATATGGCGGGCTCGGTTGCGAGTGGCCGGTTGCGTCAGTAGGTATCAGCGAAATTGCTTGCCTTGGCCCTGACACCGGGATGTCTCAACGCCACGTGCTGCCGGGGTAGTTCTTCTTCACCGATCGTATCTGTGCCTGGTGTCACCTACCGCACTTGGGAGGAGGCAGACCGGGTCGATTGATTGATTAATGGGGAGCCATCATGATTTCCCGAGGTGGTTTGGCCACTGCACAGTTTGGCGGTTGACGTTGATTGAAATGAGTGGCTCAATGGGAAATTTCTCACCCTCGTCTGACACAGTCTGGAGGGCTATCACTGACGATTGCTGATATATGAGGCTCGAATCGGTGGTTTCCGAAATGGCCGCGAGCCAGTAATAAGGTCCTGGTAATTGAACCACTTTACAACAAACATCCCGTCCCTACATCAGATCCGCCTATAGGAATGCGAAAGTGCCTTGTAGCTCTTTCAACCTTAGCTGATCTAGATATTCATTACCTCTTTCGTCCCCTGCTTCCATGCGGCGACAGGCATTGATTGTGCCTTTCGACCGTACCGTTCTTCAGCGTCTTCTAGAAGGCTCAGATTCGGCTCCCGATCACGGTTAGAGATTCTCGTACCGAGTGATAGCTCTAAGAGGTTACCATATATCCTTGTCTATCTCTGACTGGTTGAGGGTGTCTGGGTTGTCATGGGTTGATCATCTCGGACAAGAAAGCTCCACAATCTTGACAAGACATCATGCCTCCCCTTGACTTGACTGCCGGGTAACTCGAGCTACTCTCCAGATGTCATCCGAAATTTTGGGATGAATATCCTGGACGGCAAGCAGATCTTGCAAAAGCTCTCACGACGAGAAAGGACTAGTGGCAGCTCGCGGCACTCCCGGTCGGTTCATGATGCCATGTGTCTCTCTTCCTTGCTCCATCCTCACCCACCCTCCCCCGTCCTTTTGAACCAACCTTCGCCTCCCACACAGTATGTCAGGTTCTCTACCTTCTCGCTCTTTTCACATGATCTCTTGGAAACAAGGTGATCTCTCCTGGCTGAAGCCACCTTTCACTCTCTTTCAATCTGTCCCACATTCCTTTTTCATTCATCCAAGCCGTTGGTGTGCCTGATCCTCCGGCTTTCCGGTCTTTTATCATTTCATCTTCCATTGCTGCTCCTGTGTCTTAGGAGCCACAAGTTTCCCTCGCTGTTAGGAAACAGTTTTCAGGATGAGAAGGGTGGAAGTATGTTCATTGTGAGGGGCTTGACCGTCCTTCTAGCCGGGCTATCGGGTCAATGTTGGGCTGCACCAGTCTTGAGGCGATCGCAAGCTGTAGACCCAAAGCCTACTTTGCCCAACAACAAAATTGAAGTGACGGGAGGCTGGGAACTTGACCTTGAAGATGTCTCTCCGTCCATGCCTGGTCGGGTGTGGACCAGGCCTGACACTTCAAGATCCCTTTCGGAGGGATATCAGCTCAACCAGGAGCGGTATGGCGGAATATTGGCCATAAGAGATCAACAGTGCGACGACTCAGTACCACTGGCATGCTCTCGAGACGGTGATGATACAGAAATTCTTTGTTCTGGCTGTTCGACGTGTTGTTCAGGAGAGGGACGTTGTTGTGGTCAGGGCATGCGGTGCTGCACAACTTCCGACGGCTTTCCATCTTGTTGTCCAATCGAGGAGGACAACTCTTCAGATTCGTAAGTTTTGCTCAACTCAATATCTTTTTCATTTACTCATATTGGGATAGACTTCCGGTAGGAGTGGTTGCAACTGTATTTACAACTACCACCATTACTCACACAGTGACTTTTTTCACTGAGACAAAGACTTCAGCTTTTATATCAACTCGGACGGTAACTCTAACATTCATCAACCCAGTGGAGCAGACTCAGACAAGTACCGTCACTTTGACTTCCTTCACAGGAGGTGCTGTGGCTCGACAGTTCACACAAATACCTCTTCCCCCGCCAACTCTTGGGATTGTTCAGCCCCTTGCGGCCTCCTCGGCAAAGCTTCGTCGACAAGATGGGGCGGTAGACCAGACCATAACATCAACTCTAACTATAGACACCACGACTACAATCTTGACAGCAAGCACTGTCTTTACAACAATTTTTAATACTATTTTCGTAAGCGTCACAATCGCCCCGAATGCCGTGACCACGATATTTACCACCACCACGATATTTACGACCCCTGGTGCTCCTGGCTCCTCAACAACGTCACAAAGCGGAGGCGGAGAATCAACTGGGAATTCAACTCCAAGTCCGAGCCCGACTAACACTCTTCCACCTCCCCCTCCTCCGCCTCCTCCAAGCAGTATTCCGCCCGTGCAGTCAACATCACAGACTCAGATACTGCCTCCCCCTTCAAGTAGTGCGCCTCCACCGCCGCCAGAGCCAAGCACCATAACTCTACCTCCTACAACAACTATACAGATCCCACCTACTCTGCCCACTTCAACGCCCCTGCCTACGGAAACTTCGAGCGCTTTATCATCAAACCCAGTAGGATCTTCCTCATCGTCGGTCCCGCCTTCGAGTATATCGACAGGGCCTACTTCAGGGGTGACCTCAAGCCTACCCTCTGGTACCAGCTCTGGGACAGGAACTATGGAGACTATGGTAACAAGTTCTCGAACTGGCAGTCTTCTTACTCCTGGCCCAACTTCAACGTCCACGCCTCCTGTTTCTCCTAACCCTGGAAGTCCATTGACCTCAGATCAGATTGCTGGTATAGCACTCGGCGTAATCTTCTTCATTTTTCTTCTGCTACTAGCCGCTTACCTACTACGACGTCTTGTCCAGCGCAGGAGACGAAAACTTGCCTCACTTAGACAGCAAATCACACCTCCTGAAGGCCACGCGATGGCCGGAGCTGTCGTCAACGGAGGCCAGCAGTCATCAGGCTCATCAGGGGGGCTTACAGGCGAGGGCGAGGTCCGGATCGTAATCCGTCCAGCACCGTCTCGCGACCAGCGGTCCCAGGCATGGCCTATGCCACCGGGTCAAGAAGGCCAAACCTACAGCTTCTTTGTTGAGGAGAACTCGGGACAACCAACAGCTGAGACAACGCCGGCAGATCCTAGAGCTTGGAGCATTGCCAGCGAGTGGGGAGGCAGTGCGAGCCCGGAAGCTGGGGCGAGTCGTCGAAACAGTGCCGTACCGAGCAGCAATGTCCTGGGCAGTCGAAGAGAAAGTCGGGACATGAGCGCTAGGAATAGCGGGATGGCAACGAGTAGCTTCTTCGAGGGAGCAAGTACAGCAACTTGGATGACTCAGGGGCAGCGGCCGAGTGGAAGTAGTCAAGGAGGGTTTGGTACCAGGTTGGCACCCCCGCCTCCTACACACGCTGGGGTTGGAAGAGGTGGCGGCTACGGAGAAGGACCAGCCCCTGGTCTTGGACGAGGAAACGGCAATGGCAATGGAGGTGAGAATGGGAATGAGAATGGCGGCGGCCCAAGGTACAACTATGGCAGTCTTGGGATCGGGCGAGCCGTCTGACCTGACCCAACCCGCACCCATCTACGTCGATGAATGACTACTTCAAGAAGGCGCTGGAACCTCACAACATTCGGGACTTCGCCACGATCAATGATTACAGAACGAGCTGGACACTCGGTGGTGCTGGAGCACACCATACAAGTTGCAGGACAATATCGCATCTGAATACACATACACGCACGGCATACGGTATAAAATGGGAGAGACCTTGGCGTTGGCGGCTTCTTGCTTGATTATACAGAAGCACATTCATGGATGACCCGAGTCACCCATGTAGTTGTAGTCTTAGTGCGAATAGATACCCTGACCTCACCTTTCCTCAGCCACAGGCATCGTACGAGTGACCTAGCAAGCACTTCTAAGACAATCCACCATCACAAGAGGCTGCACCTGTGGTCCCGGCATACTTCGCCGTACACACCAACCCCTGGCTCACCGGTGCACACTTAAGATCAGTTCTGACAATCATCATTATGCTTTTGATAGCACACCATCAATCCCACCTCATTACGGAAGCCACATTTTCCACAATGGAGCTGATCCGATCACCCAAAAGCGCGGAGGGGCTGGGTCGTTAATGCGAACGACACCCCTGACTGTGCATGATCGTCCTTGCAGATCAGACAGCCATTCCGGGTTCCGGGGTGACACCAGATCATTTCCTTCAGACGAACAGCTTTGAGCGATTGATTAACCTGGCATTTAATTGCGACTGGCTCGTTATGTATTGGGTGCGCTGATGCTAATCAGCTGTGTGATGTACAAGAAGAAGATGCCTGCCGTCAGATAATTGAGCTTTCATCCGCATTTTTATTTCATGTGATATGGCCACAAGATCTTCCCATCTATAAGATCTCTCGTGATGCTATATTTTTTTCGGCAGCTTCTCTCACAGCCCGCCCTATGTTACAAATTAAAGTACAGTCGGGGCCATTATATCGTCTAAGCCGTTATGTTTTCCAGCCTGTTCGCGAGGCCCTCTCCCAGTAAACGCCATGCCATGCGTAATCGAGTGAAGATGTGATGTAAGGTAGAAGTTGAGACATCACGTCGCATCGAACGTGTCTCCCCTTTCCATGATGGTTTTGTAATAAAGAGGAAGTCGATAGTATTGAACTGTAGTCCTGGTGGCGGCTGCATTCCTCGGTTTCTGGGAAATTGCCACTACCGGTCCTTGTAAACTTTCGGCTTCCATCCTTCTTTGATTTCTGCTTCTTGTGCTTCCTTCTCGAGGATCGGCCCCACCTCGGCTTCAATGCGCTCTCGTGCGCGCAATACTTTGCTCTGTAGGTAGAAACTCCCGCCCTTCTGGGGGTCGTTCGCGTCGAAGAGACGCTTGAAGCGCTCCATGACCTCCTCCATATCGGCCTTGCCGCCCTGGGGCGGCTTGACATTGAGAATCTTGACGGCCTCTTCGAGAGTCATACCAGTAGCACCGCCGCCGCGTCCGGTTGAAGAGACGCCGGCCTTGGCTTGTGCGCGCGCATACTGACTTGAAGCATTCGCCTGCTTGTATGCTTCCGCGAAGGACCGACCGAGGACACGCGCGCCGATGGAGATGACTTGTAGAATACGGTGGGCCTGCATGCCATAATCATCAGTACTCTATCACAGGAATATTCCACCCCGAGGATGAGGCAAGCACGATCGCGCCCCGGAGCTCGACACACAAAAAGATGTGGCTGTGAGACAGGCTTACCATTGTCAACGCTTAGGAGGTCGTCAGACTTCTAAGCTCCTCCAAAAATCACGACAGCTCTCGCTGTGTAGAGCTGCTGTAGCAAAAGCGGCGATGCGATGGTCGCTATGCCCGTTTCGTGGCTGTCTGTCGCACTCGTGGGAAAGATGAATGGCACCATCAAATGAATGGACCGATGATGGCTCTATTCTAGAAAATTGATGGATCGCCTGCCGGAAAATTGCCGATAACCGGGGCCGGAGTTTCTACAGTGCCGGCAGCTGGCGCCTAGTGGAACTGGCTGCCAGCTGGCTGTGACGCTCACAGCTTAATTCAGCTGGCAAGTCCGAGCGCGGTTATTGTGACCACCACCACCTCAAAAAATGACTACCAACTAGCCATATAGGGTGTAGGCCTCGTAAAATTGGACTGGGCACTTATACTGATGTGAGGGCAGAGCATCGATGTGTTTATTGTAGCCATCTCAATATAATTGTTATCTTAGTTACAGTTATAACTTAACTTCTACTGAAAAGTCTGGTTAATAGCATGATAATTAGCTGTTAATGCACACCAAACTGAAGCTATAAACACCATAGCTATATATCCTTACTTCCTTTCTCTCTTCCTTTCTTTTCTAAGATAGAAGGTAGCTACTGTTAGGTTCAAGACTAAGTACGTTTACTACTCTATAGCCTTTTCGGCAGGCAAGTCGACATAATTGCATGCTGCCGGGTTCTTCGGCCAGCTAAGATAGCGATGGATGGATAAAATCATCAGGCACCTTGCTTAAGGTAGGTATCTAAGTCCTAGCATCTTTATCTCTAGCAAATATCACGAAGCTCACGCAATAGACGTGTTAATACGGGCCTTTTTCTGTCAATATTGCCCCTGCTTGAGGTAATACCACCTTGCTGAGCTTGCTCCGCCATGTCCTATTCTACATGACATCGTCAAGCTAGTCGCTCGCGGATCATCATCTTGACACTCAAATCCGGCTGCACCGACCCATTGGGAAGTGAGAGCCTCTCGGGCTTAGAAGCACCGGCTAGCAGCTGAATGTCGTAGTCGAGTAGCAAGTGGGCAAGCAGGATCTTGATAGTGTTTCCGGCAAACACACGGCCGGGACACACCTGCGGGCCGTCTCCCCATGTGAGCAGCTCGGGCCCGTTGTTGGTGTACTGATGCCGTGTCTCCTGCCCGGGCTGGCGGCGCAGGTGGTAAAAACGCAGCGCGTCGAAAGTGTCCGGATCCGGGTACAGCGCTGCCGAGCTGTGAATGTGGTCTTGATCCACGCATACAATAGTACCCTTCGGCAGCTGGGGTCCGATGGAGAATTGCACCGGCTCTTGGAGGATGCGGCTGAGACCCACTAATCAATGCAGATGGGATATCAGTCAGCTTCTTGATATACATGGACATAGGGTATCACATTGATATACTGCGTGTGGTACGGGGATGAAGCAACCTACGGTAATGGAAAGTGTTGATGCGTGCCGACTCGCGCATGAAGCTGTCCAGCTTGGGCAACTCGGTCAGCTGGGTTTGCGGCAGCTTTCCGTTCTGATCGAGCACGCCGAGGACCTCTTCGCGCAGCTCTTCCACCAACTCGGGTCGGATGAGTAGCTCGGTCAGCATCCAATACAAGCTGGCAGCCGTAGTCGGCGTCGACTCAAATGAGGCCGTGATGATGTCTCTAACGACTTGGTCAACGCGCAGCTCGCCGGGTTTGTAACGCTGTACGAGCAGCTTCACAAAAGTGGTCTTGTTTTCGCCCTTGGTGTTAATCTTCGCTTTATCCTGAACCTCTCGCACAGCCTGTTCGACGGTGGGGCGAACGAGGTAGCTCATCCACCGGTGGAGCAGGTAGGCAGGAAAGTAGGAGACGTAAGCCACCCATGGACGCAAGAGGCGTGGGAAGTAGCTGCTTGAAATGACTCCGATGCCTGCAGTTATGGGGAGAAGCTTGACGGCAGTCAGCCAGCGTGTGTCGTGGCTAAGAGGCTCGCCGACCAGGCCGGTGGCCCCCGTTTTGACCACAACATCCAGGACAGTCCATATCAACGACACCGTGACCCACTGGCTATGGGTTGCCTTTGAAGACTCTACCGTAGTCTTCCATGCCGACCGAGCCGTCTCCTGGCGGGCGAGGCCTAAGGGTGCGACACTGCGGGCAAGATCAGTGCTGGCTGCCTTATGCAAGGTGCTACTGGAATCGTCGGTGCCAATCAGCCTCCAGCCCCCAAATTGCACCGTGGTCAGGAAGTCAACCAGTGATGCCTTATGGGCCGGCAGTCTACGGATCTCGTCGACGTAGGCCGACGGGAGCACGACGAACTCGAACCCCGAGTACGAGAAGAACCACGGGCTTCGCGGGTATTTGGCTGCCGCCTCATCCAACATCGGCTTATAATCCCATGCGTGCTTCCCCCGCGACGGTTTAAGACGGGGGATACCGAGACGTCTCACCGACAAGAAGTACGGTTGAATGAGGAAGTTGTCGACCGCTACGACGAATAGTATAGCAACGAGAAGTGCCAACCCAAACCTGACCGGACGAGACGTGTCCCGCCAGATTTGGGCGACCAGTAGTCGCGCTATCTGCCATCGTGTCAAGTTTAACGGGGCTAGAGACTGTCGCAGGATGACGTATTGCTCCTGCAAAGTCGCGTATTGTGTGCCTAAGCCGGAAACAATGCTCGGCGCCATGACTACCTGTGTCAATGGCATGAGGATTACCACAACACGTATCTAACAGATTCTCTTAATGCCATTGACAAGTTATAGATACTGAGAGTATGCTACATTCACGAGACAAAGTCGAAAATATGAGATCCCCGGTGGAGGGGGGAGGAGCTGTCCCCTTGCGGCAGTCTTCGTCAGCGCCGCATGATGCCATCCCGATCCTACCACACATCAGCCCACGGCTCCGGTCACATTTATCCTCAGCGGAATTCCGAGCCCGATTCTCGGATTGATTCAGTCGACTCGCCGGATTTGTAAAACGCGACCTGGATTTGTAACCTCTTTGTTTTGCCATCGGCAGAATCCGTCGGAATAGGAAGATGCAGTCATGGATTACATCAAGAGGACCGGAAGGAGAACTTCGGACTCTACGTGCTCAGCAACCTGGGACTGCAGCCTGTATGCATTGGAAGTTGCGTTTCTGGCACGCTAAGTTCACAAGCGCAAGGCAGAATGGCGGCTCCTCTGTCCACCAATATTCTTGACATGTCGGGAGTTTGGGTCTTGGTAAGACACCTTACTTCCTCTCTACCACGCACTAATCTGACGGGACATGACCTGAAGAGCAAGAAATTGTCGGATGACTTCGATGCCACGTTTGCAGCGGTCCGTCCTGAACTGTCCAGAATTTGACGCGGAGAATCTGGCGAGTGATACTGACATGTGCAATGTGGCATAGCAAGGCATTGCTTGGCCAATTCGAAAGATACTGGCCTTGGCCGGGGTGTCGCTGCATATGACGCAGTCCAAGCTTCCACCCGAGGGTAATGCCGCGGGAGAGCCCGTCGTATCGATCCAGGTCAAGCAGGTGGTCAGTCCGGGCGGCTTTAACAGCCAAGACTCGTTCATTCTCGACTCCCAGCCCAGGGAGACCACTGTACCTATCTTTGGGCTCGTCACCGTGCGAGCAGGCTATGTTCCCCTTGCCGAGCTCAAGGATACAGAGCTGCGTCAGCGTCTGCAAGGTGGCGGAGCGGATGTGGTAATTCAAGAGACCGTGGAGAGCAAGAAGAATGGGTGGGAAACGGTAGGGACATGGGGATTTGAAGAGGTTGGCGGCGAAAGACGCTTTACCCGGACCAGTGTCACTACGATCAAGAGTGATGGTACTCAGACAGTAGCTAGGCTAGTGTATGATTTCAGGGCAGAGTGATTGCTTATTATCGTTGATGTACCTAGCTCACTGGATGATAAGATTATGAGAATATAGTAATTATCTGACCCAGTCAGGCCAAAGGCACAATTAGCTTCTTCCCCGACACTTTATTCGCTTTGAGCAGTTCCAATCCGCGCAGTACGTTGTCGAAGCCTGGTGGCTGCAGTACCTGCATCGGCAGCGGCTTCAGCTTCTCCTCGTCCACCAGCTTCTGCAGGCTGCGGTAGAAGCGCTTGGACCACTCGTGTAGCTCGGGGTCGGGAGGCACACCATATGGTTCCGGGAGAAGCACGCCCCTGCCTATGATGGCCGGGCCCATGACTAAGTGGTGGCGGACGGTGCGCCGCTTGCAGAGCGACTTGCGGTACTGCTCGAGGGAGCAATACGTGCCACCACCGCGGCCAATAGTTTCATGACACAAGGCCAAGGTGGCCGACTCACCAAAAGGATCGAGGACTCGCTTCAACCGGTTCTTGGTGTACTCGCGGATGTCGGCCGCGCACGTGGGCGAGTGGTAATCAAAGACGGCATCGGCGCCGTACCGGCGCACCAGCTCGAAGTTGTGGGCCGAGCACGTCGTCACCACCCGATGGCCGCACAGTTTCAACATTTGAATGGCCACCAGGCCGACCGAGGAGCTGCCACCATAGACCAGTATTGTGTCGGCCGGCCGCTTCTCTCCCTGGCCCACTACCTCGTCAGGCGTTGCCGGCAGCCCGAAGTATTGGTGCAGGGCTAGGGCCACAGTGCTGATGCAAGCCGGACTCAGGGCCATGGCCGTCTCGAATGCCATTGTAGGCGGTATTCGGAGAGCGTATACCGCCTCAACCTTGATGTACTGGCCGAAAGAGCCCGACTCGGGGTCGTCCTGCTTGTTGCTCGGCACGCACCCGAAGACGCGATCTCCGACCGCAAATTCGAGTCCTGCGTCACCGGCCGGACCCACGGCCGCTATGATGCCGGAAAAGTCGACGCCATCCTGCAGTCCCGGTGTCGGGAAGCGGGCCGCCATCTTGAAGTCGCAGGGGTTCAGGGCCACGCAAAGGTTGTGCACTAGCAGCCACCCTGGCTGTAGCTGGGGAACGGGCACGTCATGGGTAACCCGAAGAACACCACCGGTATGCTGTAGGATGGCCGTGTGGGTTCTGGGAATATCGACCGTGGTAACGGTCATGATGAGCTATGGGTGCTGTAAGATAGTCGGGAGTCAGAATCAGGACAGGCTGAACAGGTGCACCAGCCCCGGAGCAGAATCCGGCCCTGCATAGTCAAGTAAATAACTTAGCTGCACCACATAGGACGACATGGTGAAAGTACAGTAACATAAGAGATGTATGTGTGCGGAGTCGGAACCGGAGCCGAAATGCAGGATTCGGAAGTCCGGTATCATGTCCACAGCTGTCCTGTTACGGCTCACTCCTTGGTCCGAGACAGCTTGGGGGAGGCCCAGTGTTCAGCTATGCATAAAATAACGCCATTGAGGATCAATGACTTGATAGCGACGGCGTCGGCTTCAGCTCAGAACACGATCTCATCTCACTAAATCATGCGCCATTACTCTCGGCTTCCCATATGCGTCAGTCTGCTGGGGGCCCTGGTCAGGCTCGGTACTGGCCAAGTTTCTCAAGATGGGGGGGAAGAGACCATAGACTGGGCCGAAGACTGGCTAGGAGAATGGGGGCGAGCTCAGGCGGTCCTCGGGTCAGATACTACCCAAGCCTGTGAAGTCAGTCACGTCACTGCCTTTGAGATGTCCAAGGGGCGATCGCCGGTGTTCTTCTCGACCAGTTCAACCGACGACTTTGAGCTACCCAAGATTGTGCCCATGAACGAGACGGCGGGGGAGCAGTGGGAGTTCGATGCAGTTTCCGACGATGGCCTTTCTGGCGTCATTCTAGGCTTCTACCGCGATCCCAACTACTCGGTTTTGGGTTCGGGAAACCTGCGTATGTACATCGAAATCGCTTTCCCCGAGCCAGGCCGCCCGCGCTTTGTGCAAATTGATTACCCAACCGAGTCGACAATTGAGCGGTGCCCTGGTATTGGCACCCGGGGAGAGTGGAAGGGTGATGGCTACCGCTACGCATGGCACGTGTCCGAGGCTATGAACCGGGCCCATGTGGTGTGGGACACACCGAAGACAAAAGGCAGTCTGAGCCTGACGCGGTCTCTGGTGCCACCACGCTACGCTGACGGCAGCACCTGGCCGCCGTCAAATCAGTCTAGCACCGCTTCACCTCTGACGGTACCCCATTTCTACTGGGTTGAGCCGGTGCCCGTGGCAGAGGCCCAGTTTGATGCCCTGGTGGAGGCCGAAACAGTGACGTGGTCCGGCATCGGGGGCCACGAGCGACTCTGGGGCGCCTTCAACTGGCTCACCTGCCTCGACGCCCTCACGCTTGTGAGACTCCGAGCTGGGCCCTACGCGCTCACCTTCCTCGAGCTCGAGTCTTGGCTGTACAAAGGCCTGCAAGTTCCTTCGGTGCTGCTGGCTGAGAATGGCGCCAAGGTCTTTGCGAGCCGGTCCACCAAGGCCTCGGACACGGAGGACTTCTTCACCTGGCAGAAGGTGTATGGCGGCGAGGGCATCTCAGGGAGCCTGAGCGACAAGGCAACCGGCTTCGTGCTCGATCTGGTCTCGCCCTCGCAGGGAAAGCAATGGACCTTTCTCATTACCCACAGGAACTTAGTTTTCGAGTACTTCTTGGGAGGAGGCGTCGGTGGTAGTGGGTTTACCGCCACCGTGGCAGGGGGTCAAGTCGGAACGCAGAGACAGTGGACGGGTGTAGCCTTGACCGAGGTGCTGAAGCTCCCGGAGAAGAGCCTGCTACTGAAGAGGAACTATGTCGAGTGAGCCGCGAGGAGTCCAAGGGAGTAGAGGGATGCAAGTCGAGTCCTCGCACCTGCCTGCCTAGATGGGACTACGGCTCTGCTGCATTGAGAAATGGTGTCACCCTGGGATGGAGCTTCGAGGTTGTAATAATCAACTATCTTTGCGTGCGGTGTGGCAAAGCAAGCGCGCTCCTTCCTTCAAAGGGCCGAGTCCACCGCAATGAACCCCTAGATTGGACTTCCAAGTATACCTTTGGGTCAGGTAGAGGGATGCGTGCGATAAGCGGATACTATAATGCGTGTGAGACCAACCATATTATAAAATTTATTGATTGATTCGAGACATTACCTGTGAAAATTTGTCACCTGCCGCCAACTTACCAACGCAATACTGCATAGTAAATACGGTTAAAGTTTAATCCTGTGATTATGGGGGCGACGAGGAGGGGCCTGCTCAAGAGGACGGGGTGGATGTAATTCTTATTCTTGGTCAAAGTCGGCGGCCATTGGCAATTGGATCGCTGCTGACATGAAACGGGTAGCTGACAAAGATCCACAGGCATCTCCTGAATAGATATCTTACACTATTAGCCAGTTCAACGAGGTCAGGGATGTAGTCTTAGTTCAACTGGGGAGGGTACGACTCATGTAACATCATAGCTGGCCCCAGATGCACCATCAATCAGCTCATGTGTTGTCCTTTTTACGTTTCCCGCTAGCCACGGGCCATCACGGGCGCTAGTGCCACTAGGTTGTTCCATCATCGCCCCACGCCGGTGGGATTCATCGCGAGTATATGTACTTGCGCAGATGATACTAGTATTGGAAGGCACGCATTCATGGCAGTTGCGGCCGGGGACGAGACAAACAAAGCCCGGCATCTACTAGTATGTATTATGCAGTACCTATGCATCTGTGCTTACCATCGGGTACAAATCCTATTGGCGTTACCTACTACTTGGGGTAGGTAGGTGGCGGTCGGGTACTTGAGTTTCCTACCGGGTACCTACCTTAGACGCTTGATTAAGGTAGAGGCTGGGAGGTATCTTCCTCTCCTTTGCAGTTGAGAGAGGTAAGCTATCCTGCCTTTTTGACTCCTGACTGCATAGTATCACCTAGGTAGGTAGCATACCTATTGCTGACACCGACGTCGTGAAATCTGACCACGATATGCCTCCATCCTGTCGGACTACGAATCTTGCATGAAAGGATTGGCTGGAAGGCCGGTGGCACAGTTTGCGCGTGTCTATCAAGCCAATAGGACTGTGTTGACACCTCGATCACACAAACGCAGCGGTTGTATTGCGAGATCAGGCTTCCGCGAATAACACCTGATAAAGATTGAGGCCCCACGCCCTTGGCAAATCCTACCGCACAAACCCTGTCTACTGAGATTCAATCCGTGGGGAAGCAGAAACCCGGCCAGCGAGATAGGTATCGGTTAAGCTCTCGACTGTTACCTTGGCTAGGTACCCCGGGCAGGGCCGCGTCGCGCAACATTCCTAGCATAGCACGCTACGGATGCCTTCCTTTTCGTTATCGTTATATTTGGAGCCCTTCAATGGCACGACAAGGACGAATTACAACTAAATCTAGGTATGCATGTTGGTTTGTAGTTCGCAGTGATGATGCCGAGTGCCACGAGCGGGAACTTCCGACCGTCCCGCCGCTTCGCCTGTGATCGCTGTCGCAGCTTCAAGCTTCGTTGCCAGCGAGACGAGGCCCTCGGAGAGGCGTGTGAACGGTGCGCAAAGACCAACCTCCCCTGCACCACCACCTTTGAGCACACCTCCCAGAGACAGTCACTAGCCAACCGGCTCAACCACAATCACAACCACCAACAGAACGTGAACGTCATCGAGAAGGAAGGACGTGGTGAGAACCGGCCGGCTGCCGTGACCGAGGCGCATCCCTCGCCGCCGCGAGACGACGGACACGGCCGCTTCGACTCCAACCAGGGGCAGCCCCCACGCCGCTCTTCCTCCCCACCAGACCGACACGACGAGCCGAACGGGGCGGCCTGGAACCCTCTCCCTTCCCCAGCGGTAGAGAACAGGCCTCGGCCAGCCTCGGGTGCGTCCAAGGAGCAACTTACCACGTCCGAGACGAACGGGTTGGCGAGACATTGGGCGGATGCCGGAGAGCGTATGCTTCTCGATCACAATTCTCTAGTATGGCTGTGAATGGATTCTGTTTTTTAAGAGACTTACTCGAGAACCTCTGCGAGAACTGACGCTCCGAACTCGACAGGGCCTAGACGGGATGGACTTCGCCATGCCCGACTTTCCCTTCGACCCGGGCGACTACGACTTTTCGCGGCTGATCGACGGGCACCATCCGGCATCGAGTACCGACGTGGAGGTTCGAGTTGCGGCCGGGGGTAGGCATCGACGAAATGGTAGCGAAGGGATGTCGGGCATCTTTGGTCACCACGACGAAGACCTAGGCCTGAACGGCGCCGCGACCGACCTCTTAGGTCGTCCTTCGCTATCCCGCCAGGGGGGTTTGGGCGACGATGGCCCATTGTCGTCGACGGCAGAGAACGGAAGGAATCACGATCCTCTCTGCTTACCGAGCACAAGTGGCGAGGCGCCTCACCAGGTGTCACAGCCGCTGAACAGCTACATCGGCCTCCTCAAGCTCAGTTTAGAACTGGCTGAGGACCGAAATATCATTGAAACTCAGGCACCCTTGGATGTGAAGCACCCGTCTCCTCTGCCTGAGTGCCCGCCGGTCGAGCAGTCGCGCTTCATCAACCGCGTGCTCAACCAATCAGCCCGCTTTTGGGACATTCTCAAGAAGATGTCGACGGAGGTCGAGTCACAGCAGCCGCGGGCGGGGAATGGGAGCAACAGCATTGGTATCCGTAGCAACGGGGTGAATAACGTCAATAGCCGAGGACACGCCCCTACTCGCGGCTTTGACAGCGGCGTGTGGCTCGGGTCCACACGAAGCGTGACCAGCGATGGCGGCAGTAACCGGGTGGATATGGACCTCTTCGGTATGCCCGTCTCGTCGTCGTCGGCCGCGACTGGAGCGTCGGTGATGCCGCAGCGGGCGGATCACGTGCTGGTGGTGAATCTGATCATGACATACGTGTATCTGTTGCGCAACTGCCGGGCCGTGTTTGCGCGGCTATATCAGGCACTCGACATGACGGCCACGGCCGAGTCGCAGTCGGCGCTGAGGCTTCCGAGCATGCAGTTCGGTGACTTCCAGCTCGACAATAATCTGGCCGTCCAGGTCAAGGTGCTGGTGGAGATGATGTCGGGCATGTTGCTGCGCATTGGCAGCACCCTCGGCATCAGCCCGATCGGTGTCATCTTTCCGGCCAATGGCAACGCCTCCCCGCCGGCCGAGGATCTTGATTACCGCCTGCCCTTTATGAGCGACCCATTAGCCGTATCGGTGCGCGAGATTATCTTGTCGCAGGAGAGGGCCCAAAATGGCGTGGCCCAGCCGGGCGAGGCGCCGCCACTCCGTGAGATCCTGTCCAACCTAAGACGCCTGCTCGAACGTCGATATTGTGTTTAGCTCCTAAACGTAAGGTGCCTACCTGACCTAAAGTACCCACCTTGCCTAAGCCTTGAATTTTGTCTGGACCGGATGACTGCACTGACCGTACATTTATACCCTCTTTTGTGCACTCTTTCTCTTTCTGCTCCGAAAGTCAACCGAGGTCGGGAGGGAGAGAGCAGTGAACGTGGTGCCAAGTGGAGAGATGCATGAGTGTGGAGTGTCGGTACACGCGGAACCCACAGTACCGGTACTTGCCATACAATAACAACAGCAACCCAGTAGTACCTGCGTCATGTAGGAGGGAAGTGCTTGCTACCGACGATCGACGTTGTGTTGGCTGCGACCGAGGCTGTGGTTCACCCTACCTACCCCTGACGGGGAGCTGCATTCAATATCACACAGAAAGGTTATCGGTTAAGGTACCTGGTAGACGTACCCTTTAGCTTATGTATATCTTAGGTAATCAATCCCCTATCTGAGATAAGGTACCTTCCCTGGATAACCTTCAATGGAGAACCTTGGAAGGTAGCAAGCACACAGGTCACTCTTGCCGTTTGACACAGAATGAATGAAATCTGTCCGATATCTTTGCTTCCACCCTACCTTGGCAGCCGTGACTGAAACTTCTTAAATCTTGCCTGCTACCTCATCTATTAAAGCTTCTCTCGGACTATGCCGAATTGCTGGTCGAGGAAGCGGAATACGCGTTGATTGCATTGCGCCAATGCGCCCACCTTTGCTTGAAGGCCGCCCTCACCGGGCGTCTCGGCCACCCACAACTGCTTCTCTTGACCTCCCCTTAATCCCGACAATCCCTCATACACGGCCGTGGTGTGGTCTGTCACGTCCAGGTACAGCGATTTGCTTGCACCTGTGACCAAGACTGGACAGTGAATCTGATGCAGCAAGTTGCCGCCTTCAGGAAGTCGCAGCGTGTAAGCCTTCATCGCGCGCAGGATGTGAGAAGGTCGTTGCTCGCCAAACATGGTGCCCGTGATGGCGATGTTCCACTTCATTTGAAAAGCCAGGCGCATCACCAAGCCGATGACGGCGTCTACGGTGCCGTCGCCGATCCAGCCTCGCTCCCACGCCTTTAAGAAAGACTTTGGCACCTGAGTAGTGGCAAAGTCCCATAAATCGTGCACCGGGTCGATGGCGATGCAGGCCTTGAGTCGCTGGTCGTTCGCCGCCGCCCGCAAGGCGAAGTAACCACCCAACGATGCTCCCCACACGGCCACCCGGTCCAGGTCCAGGCCCAGCTCCGGTTGCTTCGCCGCCACCGCTTCGAGATGATCAATCACCGCGCTAGCCACCACCTCCCAGTCTGGGCGAAATCGCAGCCCGTCGCGATGCAGGGTGAGTCCTTGGCCAGGTCCTTCGTACGTCACGGCCGCGTAGCCCAGCTCCAGAGCTGCGGCAGGTGCTAAGAAGTATATCTCTTCCGCGAGTCCGTCGGCCCCGCCATTTGCGATCACGATGGGCAGCTTTCCACCCGGCAGTCGTCGCCATGGAGGCGGCAAATACAGATAACCCGGTAGTGACTTCTTTCCGAAGGGAATCTCAAGCGGGATGACTCCCTCATGGTCAAAGAACTGCGTGGCTTCGCGGAATAGGCCGACTGATTTCTCAATGATGGGCAGCATGCGAGGATCGGGGACCAGCGGGCCACCGCCAGTCATCATGTAATAACTGGCCCGCGTGTAGTTAGAGCTGCGCAGCAGTGCATTTCTCGCAGCCGCCCGGTCCCCGGACTTGCGGGCTTGCTCTGCCAGTGCTTCCACTTTAAGAGCTTGTTCGGCCCAGGCAGCGTGCCAGCTCTCGGCGTCATTGTCCTTGATCTTGCCTACTGCCTCAAGGCACTCGGCCAACTCGGCGCCGCCACTCGGCGCCATCCCCAAGATTCGCACCGTCTCAAAGTTGAAAAAGATACCCGGGAAGAACTGATGCATGTTGATAGTGTTCAGTCGTACGCTTCAAAGAAGACAAAGTGAGCCTTGGGCAGTAAAGATCTTTAGCTTGGACCTATGCTCAAGGTAGATGAATGAATGGGCAAAACAATTGAGTCTCCAGACTCATCTCACCACTGCACCGACTCCGGCGGCCAGTCCGAACCTCACCTTCCTACTCCGGGTGCAGCCACACCGATGTCCGATACCTGCCGGAGCGGACTCGGGGAACGCATCTGCTCTTGCAGGCCGATGCCGCCTTTGGTACAGGATCTCCGTAAGGGGGAATCCAGATATCGCCACTAAGCCATGCTCATTCCGTGATTAGCTGACTACCAGTGAAGGAAGCAAGCAACGATACATGTACCTCATGTGTCGGACCGTCAGTCATGGTGGTCAGCTGCATCGGCCTCTATCAACTTTGGCTCTCGAAGAATTAGGTAGGTATTCATTCAACTTGAATAGAGTCTCCGATCGTCCATCGTTCGTCTAGACTTCAGTCTCCACCTTCCCAGAGCCAGCGTTCCAAAATCATCTCCCAGACCATCCGGAACGGACAACAGAAAAAATGGCTACTAGAGCGGCATACCATTATCCGAACGAGCCAATTGCCATCATTGGGAGTGCTTGTCGATTCCCGGGACATTCTTCATCGCCATCCAAATTGTGGGAGCTGCTGCGCGAGCCCCGTGATGTCCTGAGCGAGATCCCTAGCAACCGCTTCAACCCGACAGGCTTCTACCACGAGGATGCTCTGCATCACGGCACGTGAGTACTTCGATCTGAACCTGTGGCTCAAGCCAAGGACTGACACCCGATACTTGTAAAGATCCAACGTCAAGCATTCATACCTGCTTGAAGATGACATCGGCGTGTTTGACGCCCACTTCTTCGGCATCAAGCCGGTCGAGGCCAACTCGGTAGATCCACAGCAGCGCATTCTTCTCGAGACTGTGTATGAAAGCCTTGAGACAGCTGGCCTTCCACTGGAGTCGCTACAGGGATCTCGGACGGGTGTCTATGTGGGTGTCATGAGTGCCGACTATGCGGAACTGTTAGGCCGTGATATTGACACCTTCCCAACCTATTTTGCCTCCGGCACCGCCAGAAGTATTCTCTCCAACCGCATCTCCTACTTCTTTGACTGGCACGGCCCGTCTATGACCATCGACACGGCATGCTCGTCCAGTCTTTTTGCCCTTCATCTGGCTGTGCAAAGCCTGCGCGCCAGCGAGTCCTCTGTCGCCGTCGTGGCCGGCGCGAACCTTGTCCTTACCCCTGATCAATTCGTCGCCGAGAGCAAGCTGAAGATGCTTTCCCCTGATGGCCGATCACGTATGTGGGACAAGGACGCCAACGGGTACGCCCGCGGGGATGGCGTGGCTTCTCTGGTCCTGAAGACCTTGAGCGCTGCCATTGCAGACGGTGATACTATTGAATGTCTCATCCGTGAGACTGGAATTAACCAGGACGGCCGTACTAAGGGCATCACCATGCCGAGTCCTACTGCCCAGGCTGATTTGATCCGGTCTACCTACAAGAAAGCTGGACTGGACTTGTCCAAGTCTTCAGATAGGCCCCAGTACTTTGAGGCCCACGGAACTGGTATGTGAACTATTCCCCCCGGCTCTGTGCAATGACTGTCTATTAACTCGAACTCCAATAATAAGGCACCCCGGCTGGCGATCCGGTTGAAGCTGAAGCGATCAGTACCGCCTTTTTCGGTCAGTCTTCAGGCTTCAAACGGTCTCCGCAAGACGCCCCGCTCTACGTGGGCTCGATTAAAACAGTCATTGGGCACACTGAAGGAACTGCTGGTGTGGCTGGAGTCATTAAGGCATCTCTGGCATTGCAGAATGGTCTGGTTCCGCCTAATTTGTTACTCAACGAGCTCAACCCGGCCGTTAAGCCTTTCTATGGCGACCTGGAGATTCTTAAAGAAGCCAAGAAGTGGCCAGAACTTCCGGATGGGACGCCACGACGTGCGAGCGTCAACAGTTTTGGATTCGGTGGCGCCAATGGGCATGTCGTTCTCGAGAAATACGACATTCCAGATGTCGGACCGGTTCAGCCACAAGTGTTGCAACTGAGCCCGTTTCTCTTCTCGGCTGCCTCTGAGAAAGCCCTCACCGGAACTCTCGCTGCGTTCTCGTCGTACCTCCGTACCCACCCCACAGTCGATCTACGAGATCTATCGTGGAATCTGAGTGACCGACGGTCGACATTGCCGGTGCGACTCTCGGTGGCAGCGACGAATATTGAAAGCCTCACCTTGAAGCTCGACGAGCTGTCCAAGACACCTTCGGGAGTTGTTACAGTGAACAGCAACAGTTCGGGAAACCGGTTGCTTGGCGTGTTCACTGGACAAGGCGCCCAATGGCCAGCGATGGGAGCTAAGTTGATAGCGTTGTCTAAGGCGGCCTCCGATCGTATCCAGGATCTGCAGGATGCACTCGACAGCCTTCCCTCCGAGCATGCCCCAACGTGGTCTTTGAGAGAGGAACTCTCCAAGGACAAGACTTCGTCCCGTGTGGGCGAAGCCGCCTTCTCGCAGCCCCTGTGCACTGCGGTTCAGATCGTGCTCGTGGATCTTTTGAGAGCGGCCAATGTACGGTTTGCAGCTGTGGTCGGCCACTCGTCGGGCGAGATTGCTGCAGCCTATGCTGCCGGTTACATTTCGGCTCAAGACGCCATTCGAATTGCATACTATAGAGGATACTACTTGCATCTGGCAAGAGGACCTGAAGAGTCCGGTGGTGGCGCCATGATGGCAGTCGGCACTACATACGAGGACGCCCAGGCTCTCTGCGAGCTAGAAATCGCCGCCGGGCGGGTGTGCATTGCTGCGAGCAATTCTCCTGACAGCCAGACCCTCTCTGGCGACCGCGACGCCATGGAGGGAGTCAAAGAAGTTCTCGAGGAGGAGAATAAGTTTGCTAGGTTCTTGAAGGTCGACAAGGCCTATCATTCACACCACATGGTGCCATGCACTGGCCCATATATCGAGGCGCTCAAGAACTGTGGTATCGCGGTTCAGCCACGACAAGCTGACCGTGAATACCCATCTTGGATTTCTAGTGTTTACGGGGAAGATATCGAGACGATTGACACCAAGTCTCTGGCAGCAGAGTATTGGAGCCGAAACATGGCCAACCAGGTCTTGTTCACACAGGCTATCGAGTACGCTGTTGGGGCCAGAGGACCTTTCGACCTGGCCCTTGAGGTTGGACCACATCCGGCGCTCAAAGGCCCTGCTCTGCAGACCATCCAGGCCGCAGTCGGTCAGGCTATACCCTACTCTGGAACCTTGCGACGTGGTGCGGACGACGTCGAGGCGTTCTCTGAAGGACTGGGTTCTTTATGGGCCTTCCTTGGGCCGAAAGTCGTCGACTTCACGGCTTTGGATAGAAAGGCTCATGGTGATGGCGTGCATATTCCATCGCCAAGACTCCTAAAAGATCTCCCCACGTACGTTTGGGAGCATGACCGCATCTACTGGCACGAGTCTCGCTACTCTAAAGCCTTTCGTGCTGCTAGCCAACCACCACACCAGCTGCTCGGCACCAGAGTGCCTGACGGCACAGTGAATAACAACGAAGTCCGCTGGAAGAATCATCTCCAGGTACGAGAGCTTCCATGGTTGGTTCACCACCAGGTAGAACGGCAGATTGTTTTTCCAGCGGCGGGATACCTCTCCACCGTCCTGGAAGCTGTTATTCAACTTTATGGTCTAGACTCGGTCCGGCTTGTCGACATTCACGATGTGACCATCGGACAAGCCTTAGTCATCGAGGAAAACTCCCAAGTTGAGACGCTTTTTAGTCTCCGGGCAACCGAGACTACGGCAGACTGGGTCGAAGCCGTCTTCGCATTCTACTCGGCCCCGGCCTCGGCCAAAGGCTCGACGGATTTGGTCAAGAATGCATCCGGCCGGTTTCGTGTTACTTTGGGCGACCCCGCAGACAGCACTTTGCCAGAGCCCTACACTCCTGAGAGATACCAGTTTCTTGAAGTCGAGCCAGAGCGATTCTATGATACCATTGGGGAAGTCGGTCTCGGTTATACTGGGCCATTTCGCAAGCTTCAAGAAACGAGCAGGAGGCAACATGAGGCGACGGGCCTCATTCAGACCCCAGATGTTGAAGACGAGGCTGATGCTGGAAACCCCCTGCTTGTGCACCCTGGCACACTAGACTGCGCAATTCAGGCCATTATCCTCGCTCACAGCTACCCAGGTGACGGTAGGGTACGATCTATTTATCTCCCGACCAATATTGACCGCGTGCGCATCGACGCCTACTCTTGCGCCAAGTTAAAGGGGCCTGCCGGCTCCAAGTTGCCCTTCTACGCTTCGGTCACGTCAGACAAGCAGACCGACTTGTCTGGTGACGTGGAGGTGCACTCGCAAGACGGCAGTGCCGTTCTTGTTCAACTGGAGGGTCTACGCACCACTCCGTTAACACCGCCGGCCGCGTCAAACGACGTGCAGCTCTTTTTTGAGACATCATGGGTGTCCGAAACTCCGACGAGCAATACTGACTTGTGGAATGGCAAGGAAGAAGAGTCGGAAGACTACACTTTGTCCTTCTCGCTGGAGCGGGTGGCTTACTACTACGTTCATCAGCTCGGAACAGCCATACCCCAAGGGGAGAGAGCAAAGCTGGACTGGCATTTTAAAATATTTTACGAATATATTGACCATGTCATCTCACAGGTTGCCGAGGGTACGCATCCATATGCTAAGTCGGAGTGGGCAAACGACTCGAGAGAGGATATCCTCTCCGTGATCAACCGGTAAGGCAAAGAGCCAGTCACAAATATCTCTATACTTCCACTAATGCGCCAAACACAGATTTCCCGACAGTATAGATTTGCGTATTATGCAGGCTGTGGGAGAAAATCTAGTGGCAGCCATGCGTAATGAAATTAACATTCTAGAGGCAATGATGAAGGACAATATGCTCACCAACTTCTATGCTTACGCCCTGGGTATGGAGAGGTACCTCCTTGACCTGACTCGCATGGTAGGACAGATCAGCCGTCGCTTTCCACACATGAATGTTCTAGAGATTGGTGAGCTTGAGAAACCGGAGAAGCCCGATTGGAATTTCGCTGACCATCTGATAGGAGCTGGTACTGGCGGAGCTACGGAGGAAATTCTCAAGCAGCTTGCAGGATCCTTTTCTTCTTATACTTACACCGACATCTCTAGCGGCTTTTTTGAAAAGGCTCAAGATCGATTTGAACAGCATCGATCACGCATGGTGTTCAAGGTCCTTGACATCGAGAAGGATATCGAGGATCAGGGTTACCAGCCGCAGTCCTTCGACCTGGTGATTGCTTCCTTGGTCCTGCACGCCACTCGCAAGCTCGAGGACACTCTGAAGAATGTGCGCAAGCTGCTGAAGCCCGGTGGTCGGCTACTTCTGCTCGAGCTGACGGACAATGCCCCGATTCGCTTTGGCTTCATCTTTGGCGGCCTCCCTGGCTGGTGGCTGGGCTACGACGATGGTAGAAAGCTTTCACCGTGCATCTCGACTGAAGAATGGGAGGCGGTGTTGAAGAAGACGGGATTCTCCAGCCTAGAAGCCGTCACTCCTCACAACCAGAAGTTCCCTCTACCTCTCTCGGTTCTTTGCACCCAGGCGCTGGATGATCGCATGGCCTTCATTCGTGATCCTCTTGATACGACATTCCCGTCTCTCGATGTCGAATTTCTCACTATCATTGGGGGGCATTCACACGAAACGCAGCTGCTAGTCCAGCATATCCAAGGTATCCTCCAACGTCATTACAAGAGCCCCATAGATATTATTGAGTCTCTGGAAGCTGTATCAAAGCGTGAGCTACCTTTCCTTGGCAGTGTAATCAGCTTAGTGGATCTCGAGGACTCCCCTACTTTCCAGGATCTGACGGCACAGAAGCTGGCTAGCTTAAAGGATGTGTTCAGACAAAGCAAGAATATCGTTTGGGTAACGCGAGGTGCGCTCACGGAAAACCCCTACCGGAACATGTACAGAGGACTTCAACGCACCATTGTGAAGGAGATGCAGCACCTGCATGTCCAATTCTTGGATTTCGCCACGGTTGCCGACGTGGACAGTGTCACTATCGCCGCCAGGCTGCTTCAGCTCGAGGCAGGCAGTAACTGGGAGCAGGATGCTGGGCCAGGGCTGCTCTGGTATCAAGAGCCAGAAATCTTGATCCAGAACGGAACGGCTGTGGTGCCTCGTGTGCGGCCAAGCGCACACCGAAACGACCGGTACAACTCGGGCAGACGGCTCGTCACCCAGAAAGTCAATCTCGATGAAACTATCGTATCCATTCGAAACCAGGGCCAGGGCCCCGGAGCAGATTTCGCTGTCCATCAGGCAGGAGTTCGTGCCTCTGTCGCAGCATCAATTGGCCGAGTCGAGATAAACCTCTCCCACTCACTACTCCACGCCATCGCGTTCCCTGGAGGCAGCTTCCTTTACTTGTCTACAGGCTACGATGGCAAGACAGGAGACAGGATCATCCTAGTGTCTGAAAATTTAGACTCCCGAGTCTATGTGCCACAAGACTGGACTTTCCCTTTTACTCCCGAGACTGAAGACGATGAAAAGCGAACCTTGGTCGGCCTTCACGCCCAACTTCTTGCTGACTCTATCCTCTCCAACGCTGAGATTGGCGAGGTAGTGGCAGTACTGAACCCCGACTATGCCCTAGGCGCAGTACTAGCGCAACGGGCGACCGAGAAAGGGGTGAAATTAGTGCTACTTTCGACTGACAAAACTGCTTCCGTGGGAGGCCCCTGGATCTCGATACACGCGCGCTCCACGGGTCGCGATCTGCGCAGGGCAGTCCCCCGAAACTTAACGCAGCTCTTCAACATTGGTGGTTCACGCGATCTTGTAGATACTCTCACCAGCTATCTGCCCGCGAGCTGTGTGGTCCGGGACGGCAAATCTTTGACCAGCCCCTCCTCTCGCCTTCCCGTCGACTTCTTTGCTGCCGTGCCGGACATTGCCGGCAATCACCTTCGACTAGCGCTTGCGCGATCCGCAAGAGATTCGATACTTGTCGGAGAGGGAGATAGGCTTGCTTCAATAACACTTTCTGAGCTGGCCAACGGATCAGCGCCGGGGCTTGGTGAGCAGGCCATCATTGCATGGCGCTCCTCTAGCCATGTGCCCGTGCATGTGCAGCCCGCTAGCAAAGTGGTGCGGTTCCGACGGGATAGGACATACTGGATGGTGGGTTTGACAGGCAGTCTGGGATTATCACTCTGCGAATTCATGGCTAGGCGCGGTGCTGGATATATAGTGCTCTCGAGCCGGAATCCCAAGGTGGACAAAGCATGGTTACGGACGTTGGCAGACCAGGGTTGCACTGTCAAGGTGTTTGCTAAGTGAGTTGATACGTGGCTGTGATCTTCCCCTATGATTATCTACTAAAACTCCACAGCGACATAACCAACCGCGAAGACGTGAGGAACCTGTACAAGCAGATCTCAGCCAGTCTTCCGCCGATTGCCGGTCTTTCGCAAGGTGCCATGGTCCTACATGATTCCCTCTTCCCGGACGTGGAATTAGACCGGGTCCAGAAAGTGGTGAGATCCAAGGTTGCAGGTAGTATCTACCTCGACGAGATTTTCTCAGACAAGACCAAGCCGCTCGACTTCTTCGTCTTCTTCTCCTCGGTTGCCTATGTGACAGGCAACGCGGGTCAGAGCATTTATGGAGCGGCCAACGCGTTCATGGCGAGTCTAGCATCCCAACGACGCCGCCGAGGCCTAGCCGCATCGGTGATCAACATTGGTGCCATCCTAGGCGCTGGGTATGTGTCCAGAGAATTGACGCAGCAGCAGCAGGAATACCTGCGAAAGGTCGGCCACGTGTGGATGTCGGAGCAGGATGCTCACGAGATCTTTGCGGAGGGTGTCCTCGGCAGTAGTGTCGACTCGGCTGACACGGCTGAGTTTGAAACCGGCTTCAGAACCGACAACAACCGAGCTCGGGACCTGGAGGTTGAACCGCCTATGTTCCAGCATCTCCGGACCAAGACAAGCGACCAAGTCGATATCAGTAATGCCAAGACGAAGTACACCATCAAGACGAAAGCTCAGTTGCTCGAAGCCACAACCCACGAGCAAGTGTTCGAAATTCTCAAAGGTTAGTTAGAAGGCGTTTTGTTTGCTAATTATCAACCTGCTGACGGTTCTCTCGCTATTCACAGAGGGTTTCTTGATCAAATTGCAGGTAGCTCTGCAGGCAGATCCGAACAAGCCCATGTTGGAAATAAGCCTAGATGAACTGGGTGCTGACTCGCTCGTCGCTGTCGACATTCGGTCGTGGTTCCTTAAAGAGCTCGGCGTAGATTTGCCCGTGTTGAAGATACTCAACTCGCCGTCGGTTCGGGACTTGCTGCTCTTCGCACAGGATGCTCTACCAGAGAACGCCATCCCTAATGTTTCGGGCGGCGGTGGTAGCGATCCTCGGCCGGCCGATGGTGCAATGGAGCCGGAACCTGCCAAATCTGAACCACTACCACTCCCCGCTAGATCGGAAACAACATCACTAACTTCTTCTACCCAACTGAGGTCGGGCCCCGGCTCCGAGAGCTCAACTGAATCTGCAGTCACTGCTAGGACGTCAGCTACAGCCTCGGAGGCAGGCGAGGCCGACTCCAACTCAGAATCCGTGGAGGGGAAAATACGAGCCCTACACGAGCTGCAGAAGCCTGGAAGCCTGGGGCAGAGATCGCTGCCCATGTCCTTTGGTCAGTCAAGGTTCTGGTTCTTGAAACACTACGTGCAAGATCAGACATCCTTCAACATTACGACCGTAATCAAACTACATGGAAGGATCCGGCTTGATGCTCTCGAGAAAGCAGTGGTGGCCGTGGGCCAGCGCCACGAAGCATTGCGCACCCTTTTTTACACCGACGAAAAAACCAAGAAACCCATGCAATCAGTGCTACCAGAGCCCGTGTTCCGTCTAGAGCGAGCCACTATCGCCGACGACGAGGAACTACAGGACGCCGTGCAGCGTCTTAAGAACCACGTTTATGATCTTGAGCGCGGAGAAGCGCTGCGAATTCAGCTCTTGTCAATTTCCCCGGAGCGCCACTACCTTCTGCTAGGCTATCACCACATCTATATGGATGGCATTGGCTATGTAATATTGATTTCGGATCTTGAAAAGGCATACGGCGGACTGCTCAACATCAAGCCTCCTGCAACTGAGGTACTTCAATACCCTGACTTTACGACCAAGCAAATTCGCGAATACGAGACAGGGGGCTGGTCTGACGAGTTATCCTTCTGGCGCACTCAATACTCTAATTTACCAGAGCCGCTACCACTACTGCCCTTGGCTGGTGCGTTGGCACGACCAACTTCGGGGAACCAGGAAGCTGGTGTCCACACGGCCAGCTTCCGGATTCCTAAGGACCTAGCAGACAGTATTGGTCAAGTGAGTCGTCAGTTCAAAGTAACGCCGTTTCATCTATACGTGGCCGTTTTCCACCTTCTCTTGTACCGTTTCACAAATCTAGTTTCGGAAGATATGTGTATCGGGGTAGCTGACGGCAACCGCAAAGAAGCCGACGTGTTGCAGAGCCTGGGTATCTTCCTCAACGTGTTGCCGCTGCGTCTGAAGCGCAGCCCCCGCCACACCTTCGCCGACACGCTGCGAGACGTGCGAACGGTAGCTCAAGAGGCCTTTGCAAACTCACGAGTGCCATTTGACGTACTACTTAACGAGCTCAGTGTCCCACGAGAGCCATCACACGCGCCACTATTCCAGGCCTTCGTCAACTACCGCCAGAATGCGACCGAAGCACGCCGCTTCCTGGACTGCGACGGCGAGCTCGACATCGTCTCGACCGGCGAGACAGACTACGATATTAGTCTGGATATTCTAGATCTTGGTGCGAGCGGTGGCGAGAATCTTGTTGTTTTGGCCGTACAGAAACATCTGTACGAAGCCGAGGGAGCTAAGATCCTGCTCAAGAGCTACGTAAAACTACTACGACAGTTTCTAAGCAACCCTGCAGCGCGAGTCTCTTGGCCTTCTCTATATGATGAGAAGGATGTAAATCGTAGTATTTCAGTTGGTCGAGGTAATAACTCCCGCTTCTATCAGTTATTCTTACTCCAATTCCGAGATGCTAATGTTCCCTAGGCCCTCAACGTACCTGTCTTTATCCCACGATTGTACATCGCATTGATGCCATGGTAGACAAGTATCCCGGGCGAACGGCTCTTCGAGAGCCAAATGGACACCAGTTGACGTACGAGAACTTGGCCAAGCGGGTTGCGGCCATTGCAGAACAACTTGTGGGCCAAGGCATTGGTCGTGGAGAGATTGTGGGCGTGCATCAAGCGGCCCGGGCAGATTGGACGGCTACGCTGCTGGCCATCCTGCGAATCGGCGCTATCTACGTACCCCTGGATCAGAAGCAGGGCATAGATCGGCTCTCACTGATTGTTCAAGACTGTCTACCCACAGCCATCGTGATCGACTCTCTGACCGAGGCCGAGGATTTCATTATTGCTCAAAGCAAACCGGGTGCCCCTCTCATCATCAACGTGTCCCATATTTCTCAGGTACCAAAGACGAACCCGATTCCGATCCAAGCCAAAGCGGACGATCTAGCTGTGGTGTTGTACTCGAGCGGGTCCACCGGGGTGCCCAAGGGCGTAGAGCTCAGCCACGCCAACTTCAGTTACTACAGCGATGCAGCACCGATCGAGTGGGACATGCGTGAGGGTCAAGAGGTTTTCCTGCACCAGGCTTCGTACATGTTCGATGCATCCCTGCTACAGACCATATTCCCACTCGGGTTCGGAAGCACGGTTCTGGTGGTCGGAAACGAAGCGCGGGGGGACCCGACAGCAATCCCGGAGCTGGTGGCGCGCGAGAACATCACGATCTTGGGAGCCACGCCCACCGAGTACCTGACCTGGGCCCGCCACTGGGACGCTGAACTGCTGAGGAAATCACCATGGCGGGTAGCACTAACCTGGGGAGAGCCAATGTCCAAGCGGCAGCTGCGCGAGTTCCAACGGCTCGCTAAGCCTAACCTGAAGCTTATAGATGCATATGGGCCTGTAGAGACCACTATATCTATCGGTCAAGGACAGGTGCCGTGGAACAAGATCGTCATTGATGATGACAGACCTGGAAACCCCAGGTTTCCGTTGACAGTGATGCCCAATGTCTCTATCCGTATTGTCGACGAGGCACTTAACACGGTCCCGACTGGGGTGGTGGGTGAAATCATCATTGGCGGCGCTGGTGTTGGGAAGGGCTACCTGAAGAATGACGAGGGTACGGTAGCCAAATTCATACCCGATGAGTACAATAGACCTTGGCCCACGGCATATCGGACCGGAGATCGAGGCTGGCTCGAGCAAGACGGCCGACTGGTGTTGCAGGGGAGAATCGAAGGAAGCACACAGGTCAAGTTGGCTGGCATTCGCATCGACCTGCGCGATGTAGAGGCCGTCATTACTCAAGTGCATCATCAGCAAGTACGCCAGGTAATCGTGTCGGCCCGGACCAGCCCTGGGTCAAACACCCCTTTCCTCGTTGCGTTTGTGGTGCTTTCAGACAACGGGACGGATGTTCTACCGCCAGCGCAACGGTCGCGATTCCTGTTTGAATTACCGCGCACGCTGCCACTTCCGCAGTACATGCGACCCGCCATCGTTGTGGAAGTTAATCAACTTCCAACCAATAGCGCTGGCAAACTTGACCGCCGTACCGTGGATGGCTGGCCTTTGCCAGACTCTGCTGGTGCAGACACACTAAAATTGGACACAAAAGGCGAGCTCACTCAACTCGAGACGACGCTCAGCCTGCTCTGGGTCGAAGCACTTCCCCAAGCGCTTACCCCTTCGCATCAAGATTTGGACCGCTCCATTACAGTTGAATCCGACTTTTTCCACCTGGGAGGAAGCTCATTGGCGTTGATCAATCTGCAGGGACTAATCAAAGAGCGACTCGGACAATCGGTCCCCATTTTCCGGCTCTTCCAAGCCAGCACTCTAGGCGCAATGGCTACCCTGCTCGAGCAAGGAAGCTCAGATAACCTGCATGATGGAGACTATACCCAGCTAACTCCTGCTCCGATCAACTGGACAGACGAAGTGGCTCTCCCTTCTGACCTCTTGAACTCGGTAGTCGTCAACGGCAAGTCTCGTCTCTCGCCACGCGGCACGCCAAGCGTGGTAGCACTCACTGGGTCCACAGGGTTCATTGGTCGGGAGATCTTGCGTCAGCTACTCGATGACAACCATGTCTCCAAGGTTTACTCTTTAGCAGTGCGCAAGAAGCCGGCCGAAGTCGTGGCAGAATTCCCCGACCTATTCAGCCATCCCAAGGTGATTATCAAGGAGGGGGATCTTGGTCTACCACGCCTGGGCCTATCCGAGGCCGAGGCTTCTTCCATATTCGGACTCAGCGATAGCAGCAGCAGTGAATCGCCAGCCCCAATTGAGGCCATCATCCATATCGGCGCCGACGTATCTTTCCTCAAGACCTACAAATCGCTACGCCTCACCAACGTAGCCTCAACCCGTGAACTTGTGCGTCTGGCCGCACCGCGCCAACTGCCATTTCATTTTGTGTCGTCGGCCGCAGTAGCACGCCTCGCCGCCACCGCCGCGGGTCGCGACAGCTTCGGTCCCCAGTCTGCGGCACCGTACTATCCGCCGCCGCCGGGCGCCGAAACGGCCGATGGTTACGCGGTTGCCAAGCTGGTCTCAGAGCTGTTTCTTGAGAACGCCGCTCAGACGCTCGGCTTGCCTGTCTACATCCACCGACCCTCAAGCGTAACGGGCGAAGGTGCCAGCGAGCTGGACCTCATGGCCAATATGGCGCGGTACACTGCCGCAATCAGAGCCGTACCCGACACGCGCGGCTGGAACGGGGGCTTCGATTTTATCGGAGTCGGTAGCGTGGCGCGGGACATTGTCCACGTCGTGTTACAGAGCCACGGTGGCAACGGCCAAGGGAACAAAGTGCATTACCATTATCAGTCAGGCGAGACGGTCATCGACAGTGACCAAATCCTCCAGTCAGCCACTTCTGGCGGCGGGCCACCCCCTGAGGTACTGTCCTTCGATGTATGGGTACAACGGGCTGAAGACGCTGGGTTGAACCCTCTACTTGGACTGTACCTCCGTCGCGCCGCGAAGGGAGGGCTTTTATTACCAAGATTATTGAAGGAATAGGAGCGATGGGCTTGAACATGTGTTGTTTGTGAAATTGTCTATGCTGTACCCGATCTCATATTTTTATGGAGCGAAATTGCTCAATGTCTTCTTTCTTAGTCATTATGTAGTATGGTTTTGGAAGGTAAATACATGTAACTTTCACTGGATAGGAAACAGGGAGGGGAAATGGTGTTTAGGGGTATGGTATAAGGTCTAGACCTATCAATGGTCAACTGGCGCAAAATCAGCAATCATACCATGCTGAAGCGCGAGCTCTGTGCTTTCAAGCTTTCACTTTGGTACGGACAAACACAAGCGTATAGCAAGACTACCAGAATGATACAAGTCAATTTCGAGTGCTTCTAGACCTTGCTTATAGCAAAGAGTAATTACTTGTAATGAAATTATCTTTAAAGACCAATGACCCAAGAGACTAACGCCGCATCCGTTTTTCATTCTACACACAGCTGATAATAACGAAAAGTAATCACGGAAAGAAGAAAAGAAGGAGTGGGACAGAGAAGAGAAAGAGCGAGGAGGCGATAGAGATCCCTTGGAGCACTAGATCAAGTGCCGGCGGGACGGATACGGCAATGAATGCTATATTCGCGAGGTCATGGAGAGAAAGGGGAATCCAGAAAGAAGCCATTCTCTGTTCCCTAAGCAGTCACTTCCGGGGTGGTCTGCTTCTTCTTCTCGTCGTCAAGGCCAAAGTCGGTCTGCAGATGCTTTCGCAGCGAGATCTCCTTCTCAACCAGGGCCAAGAGCATGCTGACGCCGCCAAAGGCCACCGATATCTGCCAGACGCGCTGGATGCTCTGGGTGTAGACATCGATGACCTGGTCGCGGGTGGCGCCGGAAAAGGAGTTGACGACGGCGGCGGTAGCGTGCGAGTAGGCCTGGCCGTTGCCGAGCAGCTTGCGGGCGGCCGGGTCTTGGATTAGGTCCAGCAGGTCGTCAAAGCGGTTGTTAAAGATTGCGATGGGGATGGTGACGCCCCAGATGACGCCGACGCTGCGGACGAAGGCCCAGGTGCCGGTGCTGAGGGCCGTATCGGTCTCGCTGAGCATCACCTGCACAGCAGGCAGCAGGCAGGCCATGACAAGGCCCGTGCCGACGGCGAGGAAGAGCTGGAAGAAAACCCACTCGGCGGGCGACGAGCCGTGACCCAAGATGGAGCAGAGACCACTGCCGAGGGTGAAGAGGGCGAAGCCGATGAAGTGGATTGGCTTGTAGCGGCCCCATTTGGACAGGATGGTGCCGCCGACGGCGGCGGCGATGGGAAAGCCGATGACGGTGGGCATCAAGTAGACACCAGCGAGGGTCTGTGAGACGACGAGGACGGCCTGGAAGTAAATGGCGAAGACGTACATGATCCACATACCCATGACGGAGTGCAGGAAGGAGAGGGCGTAGGCGACGGCTGAGGTGCGGTTGGCGAAGAGGTGGTAGGGCGTGACGGGCTGGCGCACGAAGGGGGAGCCCTCGAAAAGAACAAAGATGACGAGGCACAGCAGGCCAGCAACCAAGGGGGCCACGACGCTCGAGTCGGTCCAGCTGCGCAGAGAGCCGCCGTAGGTCACGGCATACATGACGCCGACGGTTGAGATGGTGAGCATGGAGACGCCGCCCCAGTCGATCTTGCCCATCTTGGAGGCAAAGGAGCTGTCCCCGTGGCGGCTCTTGACGCGCAGGAACAAGAAGATGGCGACCATACAGGGCCCGCCAACGGGCAGGTTGATGTAGAAAACCCAGCGCCAGTGGCCGGATTGGGCAAAGGCACCACCCACGAGAGGGCCCACCGCCGTGAAGAGGCCGATGACCATGAAGAGCATGCCCAGGAACTTGCCACGGTCCCGCATGGGCACCAGGTCACACACGATGAGATCGACCATCATGTTGATGCCCCCGGCACCGACACCCTGCACGGCCCGGCCTGCGATGAGCATGGACGAGGAGCTAGCTCCGCCGCAGAGACCGCTACCGAGGGTGAAAATGGCGAGAATGGTGAGAAAGACCCAGCGACGACCCCAGAGGTCCGAGAGCTGGCCAAAGAGAGGCTGGAAGACAGCTCTGTCCCAGAAGAGAACCGGGAGTTAGTATTTTTTACTGACTGTAAAGGACGACCTGAGCCGCCGGGGGGAAGCTGAACTCACCCAGTCAAAAAGTAAATATTGGCAGCCCATACCGAGTTGGCACCCATGTCGAGGGTTTCGGCGATGGTGGGCAGGGCGGTTGAGACGATGGAGCCGTCGAGAGCACTCAGGAGAGACGAGGCGATGAGGCTGCTGTAAATAGCGTAGAAGCGCCAACCATACTTGTGAGGCGGCTGAGAGGCATCTTCATCTTCGCCATCTTGTCCATGAGGCGCGGTGTCTTTGACCGGGCTGCCATCGGGGTCAGTGTCGATGATATCGGTGTTGATGTTGATGTTGGTATTGCTCTGAGGCTCGGGTTCAAGCGCAGGATCCGTCTTGCCGTTTGGGTTTGGGTTTGAATTTGGATTAGCCTTGACGCCCAGATACGGGTCTAGTTCGATACCAGCACCACCGCCCTCAATCACCGAGGTGGACGGAGACTCCGAACTTGAAGCTGTTCCTGACGCTGTTTTCGCCATGGCCGCCGTGTCCTGAAAGGGGTTGGAGTTATCGGCTATGAAAAGGTGTTGCGATGAATGTCTCTGCATTCTTCCCCCGATTCCCAAGTCAGTCTGTCAGTCAGCTAGGTCAGCCAGTGTATGTACGAAAATGGCCTTGAGCAGCGCACTAAGCCCTTCTCTACCTTAGCGTTGTAAGACCGATGCAGGAACAAAAATGGAGGGAAGCACCCAAAACAGTCGAAAAAGCCAGAGAATTGGGGGAACTGAACTGGTCTTTGAGAAAGGGGGCTGAAAGTAGTCTATCTACCGTACATGCAAGGTAAAACGGTACCTAGGCCCTGTACCAAACAAGCATGAGGTAACTAGCCATGGTGCCTCAGGCAAAGAAAGTGTATGCTGCAAGGCAGTTGCCCAACGTGACCTACTATGCAGTACGAGATACAGTACAGATAGTTTGGCTAATTGCCAGTGCGAATCATCGTGCCGCCCGCAACTGTAATTGTAACAATGCTCGGACACTGTATTCGTAATGCGCAACCTACCGACCTACCTACCTACCTACCTCCCTACGTGTACTATCCAAGGAGACGAGACTCCATTCATTGCACAAGATTAGGTCAGTCCGATTGGTGAGGCCCTAAGTGGGGACAGATTGACAGATTCGGGTTCCGGTCTGCACCTCCTCCCCAGTCAGATCTGGGGTACCTTGCCTAGATAGAATACAAACTACTCCGTATGAAGGTTGCCAATTTGAGCTTCTCCGATTGGAAGAAGCAGCCACTACGCCGTGATTAGCTAAGCTAAGACGGATAGATCCATGCAGGTGGATCCCATCGTAGAATGAGGCTCCGCTCCACCCGCACAGCTTGCCTGACTCCGATTGGCGGGAGGTGTTTTAAGGTAAGTGGAGCACGGCAAGGTGAATGATATCCACTTCCATTTTTCGGCCCTTCATATCTCAGTCCGATTGGGCATAAAGTGGCAGTACAGTACCTAAAGTAAGCAAGAGTGCAAGAGTGCTCCGAATTCTCGGATCATAGATTTATCAGCAGCCAGCTAGCTGCGCCGTATCGGTCGAGGATTTATCAGACTGCCAGGCAGCAGGCGTGAATCAGGCATCCCTGCATAACATTACAAACTCAAAGCCCCGAGGTACACAGGTGGGACAGTATTCTACGTACGGTGATAAAGCAGATAGGGACCTTACTCCGGGCGAAGGCTGGCTGGCTGAACATACCAAAGGTGAGGCCGGGCCGGGTGGGCCCCCCGAAACTTGAAGGCGCGCCGGCGAATCGGCATAGCCCAAACAACTTGTTCAAAAGAGGAAATCCAGGTATAGGAATTAATGCTAGGAGAATAGGAAGACATGAGCCGTCATGAACTTGGGAAGGCAGTCACGGCCGCCACCTCTTGGTATAACAAACAAAAATTGCCCACGAGCTTCGGCCTCTCCAAGGGATCCATCCATTCAGAAAAGGGTGGACTCGCTTGCCTCATTTGAGAACTGGGCGTGGCTTGACAGCAGTTGACTAGACCCCAAGTCATCCTCAACCCAACAGCATGGCCGTACTTCAAAAGATTGTGGCTACTCTGCCCTCTAACACGGCCAGCCCAAGCGCTGCTCTGCTGGTGTTGGTGCTGGGCGTCATTGCTACCCTAGCGCTAACTCTCTATCGGCGGCATCGAGCCTCCTCAGAGCTCAAGCTGCCCTTTCTAAGGTTTGAGGATGGCGACGATTCCAGGCAGAGATATGCTACTGATAGTGGAACCCTGTTCAAGATTGGCTACGAAAAGGTAAGTACCTACCCTCGCCAGTCACCGCTTTTTCCCTCCCCCTTTTTTCCTTTCCGGGAGGAGGGATGTGTTCAGCAAAACGAGGTCATAGTGTGTGTTTTGCTGGCTAACCTTTGGGCGAATTTTCCGTCCTTGGCTTATTTAGTATCTCAAACATGGTCAAGCGTTTGCCATGCGCAATTATGTAGACGAGCTCAAACCCCAAGTATTTTTGCCGCTCAAGTATCTCGACGAGCTCAAGAATGTACCCGAGTCCAAGCTCAGTCTCAGGTTGAACTCAGAAGTAGTTAGTCATGATCCAGTCTCTCTCCACTCTTCTCCCACGACAGATGATAGCTTCAAAGACGGGAAGCCTTGCTAACCAAAGGTTTGGGATCTACCTAGCTCTTTTGCCAGGATTATACAGGGACTGCCAAACAGACGGATGAATCCACCCATGTGATCAAATATGACTTGGTTCGAAATTTGCGTGAGGATTCACTTGCCTATTTTTTAACGAGAAATTGGTTGGCTGACCATATGCACTCCATAGCTCTTCTGTTCCCCGTGATCGCCGATGAGGCTGCCCCGGCTGTCGAGAAAGTGTTCCCGCCGAGCTCAGATTGGGTTACAGTAACCACATTCCCTCTGATCTCATATGCCGTCGCCCGTCTGGCTGCCCGCATAGTTGTGGGACCGGAACTCTGCGCCAATGATGAGTGGCTAAATCTCTGCATCACCATGGTCAACACGTCCATGCAAGCCGCGAATGCTCTTCGTGGGTCATGGCCATCGTGGGCTCGCTGGGCCTCTCCCTACCTCTTCGAACCCATTAAGAAGGTGCGAGCTGAGCAACGAAGAGCCGCTGAGATCTTACGACCGGTGCTGGAAGCGCGCAGATTGGCTGCTACCCAAGGGATAGCGAATGGGGACGGGAAGGGCAACAAAGAACCGCGAGTCCCGCAATTCAACGATGCCGTGCAGTGGCTAGAGAACTACTACCGCGGACGACGTCGCAAGTTGACACTTGAGGAGCTCGCCCAGCACGAGCTGTTCTACGCCATTGCCACCATTCACAGCAGCACGATGGTCGCCCTGTCGGTACTGTACGATCTAATCGACGAGCGGAATAAGGATGCGCGTGAGGTCATCATAGACGAGATCGAACAGACGCAGAGCAAATATGGGACCTGGACACGTGCCGCCCTCGGGAGCCTAGGGAAGCTGGATAGCTTCATGAAGGAGAGCCAGCGGCTCAACTTTGTCGGCCATGCTCGACTCACGCGAGTAGCCAAAGTGGGGTATACATTCAAGGACGGGCTGTACGTGCCCAAGGGTACCATGTTGCAGATCTTGCACAGTGGTCATCAGCTAGACCCGGAGTTCTACGACGAGCCGCTATCGTTTGATCCGTGGCGTTTCCTACGCAAGAGGCAGGTGGCTGGTGACGAGAATAAGTTCCAGTTTGACAGCCTGTCCGATATCGAGACCCAGTTCGGTGCAGGCATTCATGCCTGTCCGGCTCGTAATTCCGCGACGGCCTCTATCAAGCTGATCTTGATCCTCCTGATCACCCAGTACGACCTCAGGTTTGAAGGAGAGTCGCAGAGACGACCCCCCAATATTGGCCATGACCACACTACCTTTCCCAACCCCGGGATTCAGATTCAGTATCGGCTAAAGGCCAAGTCGGCGGTCTCCAAGTCCTGATAGATACGTCGAGGGGATGAAGTAACTTTGTGGCTCTACTGTCTCTAATAGCTCTATAACAACGGCTGCTCCTAGATAATAGTGTTTTCTCCCCACCGGCCGTTTCCGAGCTAGGGTGCTATCGCGAGTCACGCATGTAACCAACAGGAACGTGTAGCGACGTGCCAGGCTCGATCATCGTATGTAAGGAATAATACATTATTACTTACAGAGAGGAATTCCTACAAGTCTCGATGCATAAAGTCCCTGCAGACTGACCGAGGGTTGCATTTCACATGCAGGCCCTCCTCCCTTCCCGGCTCCGCACAGTAACGTAGTCAGTTATACCACATTGTAGTCAATTCAATGCCCATATGTGTGAACTTGTGAAGGCGTACTGCGAGCGAGATCGTGAATACAACTTGGGAAAATCCGCACCCTTGGCTATGGGACGCCAACAAGAAGCAATATTTCGGAGTCGGACCTGTTGGCTCAGGTCATGTGGGGGAGGGGTTTTCAATTCGTACCAACAACCCCAGCCCGAGCCCACACTGACACTACCTGGGTACCACCATATCGGAGTCGAGAATTGGTGGCACTTCTGTTTCTTTGCTGCGACTGGGGCTTGATGTCGTGATGGTCTAGCCACGCACATATCAAGCCAAACACCATGGGTTATGCTCTCTCTGTCACTAATTTAAATACGCCGAGGCTTCTATTTCCCTTCCTCTTCACCTCCTCTATAAACCTCACTTCATCTATCTTCTCCTATTTCCCAAACTTCAAACATCCTCCTATTACGCTTGTTTCTCCAAGAAGGGGAGAAGGGTTAGACAAAACATTATGGATCCGGCCACTACGGCTACCACTGGTGAGGTTGCCTCCAGGGTGGATGAGGCCGCCCCGAAGGTCAAGCTCTCACTCCTCTCATACATCTGGGATAAAGACACGCATCTCAAGAGCCCAGCCGAGCGGAAGCTCCTCCGCAAACTCGACATGTCCATTCTCATCGTCGCCTGTCTGGGGTTCTTCATGAAATTTCTGGATCAGACCAACATTGCCAACGCTTATATATCAGGAATGAAAACTGACCTTGCCATGAACGGCAACGAGTATACCTACGCCGGCACTGCCTACACAGTTGGGTACGCCATCATGCAGGTGCCCAGCACCCTGATCGTGCAGTACATCCCGCCGCGCATCTGGCTGGCCATCGTCGAGATCGGCTGGGGCATCTTCACGTTCGCGCAGGCAGGGCTGCGCAACTCGCCACAGCTGTACGCCTTCCGGTTCGTAGTGGGACTCTTCGAGAGCTCCTTCTCGCCCGTCGTGATATACGTCATGGGCAGCTGGTACAAGCGGACAGAGTTGGCCAAGCGCATCACCATCTTCGAGGCGTCGGCCGTCTTCGGCACCACCTTCTCGGGCTACCTGCAGGCGGCAGTCTACACCAACCTGGACGGCGTGCACGGCATCGCGGGCTGGCGCTGGCTCTACATCGTTTGCGGCTGCATGACAGTGCCCATCGGCCTCGCTATCCTGTTTGTCTTCCCCGACAATCCCTACCACAACACCGCCTGGTTCCTCACCGATGAGGAGCGCGCCCTAGCTATTGAGCGCGTACGTGCCGAGGGCATCGCCCCGCCCACCAAAGTCACTTGGCGCACTTTTACCCGCATCCTGACACGCTGGCGGTGGTACATATTCACCCTCAGCTACGTGCTCTATGGTTGTTCTTCCCAGGCCGGCGCCTTCTTCGGCATCTGGCTGATCTCGGCTGGCTTCACCGTGCAGCAAGCCAACGTGATTCCCACCGGCACCTGGCTAATCTCGGGCTTCTTCACAGTGGTCTGGGGGTTCCTCTCAGATATTACTGAGAATCGCTTCGCTTTTGTGATAGGTCCCTTGGCACGTAATGTTCGCCCCTGAGGCAGCGAGATCCCCTATCTAACTCTCGATTTTTAGATACTGGGCATTGTCCCTTCCACCATCTTGGCCGTCTGGCCGCCTGGCGTTGGCGTCAAGGAATTTGCCTTTTTGGTTGCAGGCATCCAACTCATGCCGGGCGTATTGTGAGACAATCTCCTCCCTCCCATGCCTGGTCTGCAAACCAGAACTGACAATGCCGTTCCGCGAAATAGTTTTGCCTGGGCGGCCGAGACTTGCCGCGACGACAACGAGGAGCGAGCCGTGGTGGCCGCGAGCATGAACGGCTTCTCGTACGCCGTGTTGGCCTGGCTTAATATCTTAATCTTCCCCCAGACCATGGCCCCCAGTTTCCGTAAGTTCACTCCCCTCACGCCGCTTTGCTTCACAGACGCCGATGCTGACGCGGCTTCAATTGCACAGGCCGCGGCTTCCCGGCCACTCTAGGCTTCCTCCTGGGTGCCATTCTCCTGGTCCTTGCTACTCAAGCGCTGGTCGCGAGAGAACAGAAGAGACTCGAGGCGGGCCGGAGTGAGGTGGAGGATGGTGTTAATGCAGGAGAAGACATCGGGTCAGAGGAGCGCCGGATGGATGAAAAATCTTGAACTCGTTCAAGCAGATATAGCACGGCTGAGCATATTAGTATTGGCTAGATATTCTAGTCTTGTAATGAGACTTTATGGACTAGCTACTATTATAGAAGACTCGGCTTAGCATTAATGTCTTAGAATTGATATTTACATACTGACTGCTACTTTATAATAGCTCTAGTCTATATAGTTACAGTAATAGTATTATTTCTTTATAATTCACTTATTTTGAGGAGATAATATATTAATGAAACATTATTGGATGTTACTCATGCTGGAGAGGTTTTTATAAGCCGCTAGTTAGTACCAGATAGCTAGGAACTGCTAAGGCAGTCTGTGGCCCTAGAGCGTGAAATGTGGAAGATCGTTTTGGCATGCTGTACTATTCGACGCTTTGGCTGCAAAGTGTGGGTGGACCCGGCTGGGTTATCGTTTAGGAAGCTCAAGACTTGTAATGTTAATGCACTATTTGATTTCTTCTCTTATGAGTCGCCGTATCACATTCTAGCAAAGGCTCAATCAAGATTTAGAGAAAAGAAGAGAAAAAGCCAGAAATTTACCCGAAGTAACTAGTTGATAGTTCTCTCCCCGACAATTTACATCCTTCTTCCACATCTTACACTGCTCACCGTCTCTCCATCCCCTTCATGCTCCCCTCCTCCCTCCACTCCTTCATGAGCTTCTCCCACGCCACCGGCCCCTTGGGGTAGTACCCCCACCGTTTTGGGATCTTCTCGGGCTCGCCCTCGTGGTTGAAGTAGCCCGGTGAGCATGACTGCGCAAACAGCAAGCGCATGGCACTGCCCTCCTCAACCTGCTTCCCCCAGTCCTCCTCCGCCTCCGCCGTCGGCTCGAGGACGCGGTACGCGCTCGGCTCGGTGAGCATGGCTGCCACGACCTCGGCGATGTGCTCGCCGGCCACATAAGCGGTATGGGTCCAATTGGCGCCCACGCCTGCCTGGGCAGGGCCGATAATGAAGAGGTTGGGGAAGCCGCGTGCGTGGATGCCGAAGAGGGTGGAGGGCCCCCCGGCTGTTGCCCAGGCCTGATCGAGGGTCTGGCCTCGCGCCCCGATGAGGTGGATGCCCGTTCGGCGGAAGAAGTCCGCCCCGATCTCGAAATCGAAGCCGGTCGCGTACACGAGCACATCAACGTCGTACTCGCGCCCGCCGGCTACCACGCCCGTCCGCGTCAAGTGCGACACGCCCCGCCCATCCGTGTCGACCAGCTCCACATTGGGCCGGTTGAAGACGGCCAAATACTCGTTGTTGAAGGCCGGCCGCTTGCAGAAGAAGGGATACCACGGCTGGAGTTGCGCCGCCGTGGTCGGGTCGACCACGGTGTCGGCGACCAGCTTCCGCAGGCGCTCCATCAGCCGGAGATCGGCGAGCTGGAGCAACTCGGGGACCTGCTCTGCGGGTATCTCGGTGATGCCGGCCTGGCGGCCCTCGATCAGGATGGCCTGCATGGTGAGGCTGTCAAAGCCCTCGGCGGCCGTAAAGCGCTGGTCGGACGTGTCATCGCCCTGCATGATGTCGGCGAACTGACGCATCTGGGCCCTTTGCCAGCCCGGCTCCCGCGATGCGACGGCGGCTGGGTCGACCTGGAACTTCGCTCGCGGGGTGACGGACGACGGCGTTCGCTGGAAGACGTATAGCTTCTTGGCGCTGTGGGCGAGGTACGGGATGAATTGCACCGCCGACGAACCCGTGCCGATGACGCCCACCGTTTTGTCTGCTAGTTTGTTCAGGTTGCCGCTGCTGTCTCCACCGGTGATGTCGTAATTCCACCGTCCACTGTGGAAGTGAGGACGTTCAAAACCCTCGATCCCAGCGAGTCCCGGCAGCTTGGGCTCGTGGAATGTCCCTGTGGCCATGACCACGAACTGGGAAAGAAAGTGGTCCGAACGATCGGTGTGAATGTCCCAGAGCTGCTTGGACTCATCCCAGACCATTGACGTGACTCCAGTATGGAAATGGGCGTGAGATGCGAGGTCCCATTTCGTCACGATGCGTCCCACGTGGGCGAGTATCTCACGAGGCGGACGGAAAGCGCTCCTTAGGAATGTATCCCGTCTCCTCGAGCAAGGGCAGGTAGATCAAGGATTCCAGATCGCAAGCGGCGCCTGTTCAGGAGAAAAAGTCATAAGTCAATACCTGTTGTAAGTGTCACTCAGGGCTGGGGTGAGGGCTGCCAGGAACCTGCCGGGATATTGGTTCCAGTACCATGTGCCACCGAATCCCCCTGCTCTATCTAAGATGACGAACTGTGTCACTCCTCGACGCTTCAACTCGATAGCGGTGACGAGACCGGCAAAGCCACCACCAACAATCAAAACGGTGGTCTCGGAATTGATGGGATCGCGGGGGGTTACGGGCGCTATGGAATCGTCTTTAAAGTGGGAATTTACACCGCTCGCGGGTTTGAACTGGGCCAAGCCGTCGTCACGGATTCTCTTCGCCCGTTCTTGACCGTATCTCTTCAGAATACCTTCCTTGTCGATCTTTAGAGTTTTGAGAGGGTGTACAGCAGGAGGGTTAGTAGCAGGGGCCGCGGTGACGGCTAACTTGCCAGGGGAAGACAACAGTCTAGATAGGTTGCTACCCATCGTATTGAATGAATGAATACTAGACCAAGCCAGGACAGGGATTGAGTGGAGTTTGACCACTTTGCCGGATTCAGTGTCCAGCTTGAATGGTCCCATCTATAACCTACCTACATCTTGGTGTGTGGGTGTAAGCCACCTAAGATGCTAGTACTCGCATATACCAAGCATACCAATCGGCGTCGACTATTTCACCATACCCTGGACAGGTCCTGCAGGTCGGAACGGCGTACGATATGTCACCCAAGACCGAAGTCCCGACACCGAAATATCGTCATCTGCCCCTGGAAATTGCAAATAGCTATATAATCGAGTCAGGCATATTTGCTGGCTTGCTCTTTGTAAGTAATGATGTTATTGTGTCGGCTCACCGAAGTTCATAACATATGCTAAGCAAATTAGATCTCGTTAGCTCAATCATGTCTCGCTTCAGCTATACGAACTTCTCCAACGATGAGATCGTCAGGGCGTGTGTGGCTACTGTCTCCTTGGCCATCTTCATCTTGGTATCAACTTTCGTTTCTCCGTATGTCCTGGTGGCCGGCTCGCTGAAAAGGCTTCCCCGAATCCACAGTCAATATGGCAGCTACCGCAAGAGAGTGACGGCATTCCTGCATCATGCTGAGTCATTGTACCGCGAGGGCTATAGCCATTTCAAAGAGGGAATCTGGCGCATAACCACTACAGATGGTTTGTGCTGAAGGAACTACCAACTTGGCGGACGGAGAGGCCGCTCAACTAGGACTGACTTTCGCGTAGGCGACCGGGTAATGGTCCCGAATATTTACCTGGACGAGCTTAAGGCCCAGCCCGAGGAGAAAATCAGTAATAGAAAGGCTCTCCTGTTGGTGAGTGCGGTGACCAGATATCGACACTCTCTATGATCCGAGATCTCACGAGAGAAAATATACCTAGGCAGCCGAGTGCAAATATACCGGCATCGCGATGGACACCACGTTTCTCACTCATCTAGTACGCAACGACCTCACTAAAAATCTCGGTATGTTGCAATATATGAAATCAAGTAGAATAGCAATCCGGCTGAAGACGGTCATTGACACTTGAAATTCACCACCATAGCAATGATCAACGCTCGGCTCTGCGAGGAAGTTCAGAGATCGGTCCAAGCGGAACTGCCGCAGTCACGCGACTGGAATGCCGTGGTGATCAACGAGAAGCTCCTCCGTATAGTGGCCATGGTCTCGGGCAACGCTTTTCTGGGGCCGGATCTCTGCCGCCGCGACGAGTACCTGCACGCAAGTATTTGGTACGCCGTCGATGTGAACATGGCCGTGCGTGGCCTGAAGAGATGGCCAAGGCTACTCCGGCCACTAGGCCAGTACTTTGTCCCGCAGCTGAGTCGCATTGCGGAACATAAGCGGAGGGCGAAGGCATTCTTTGAGCCCGTGATCCGGGAGCGCAGGGCCATGATGAAACGGGGGGATCCAGTACCCGAGGACATGCTGCAGTGGATGCTCCTCAAGTCAGACGACTTCCACATCCATGACGATGCCGAGCTGGCATTTCAGCAATTGTCTCTGACCCTGGCCTCGATTCATTCAACCACTATGACCCTCACCCAGATGTGCGTATCCCCTATTTCTCCAGTAGCCCCAGAAGAATACTGAGTACCCATAAACAAACAGGATATTCGACCTTGTGTCCCAGCCAGAAGTCGTCCCCGTTCTGCGCGAAGAGATCGGATCTGTCCTAAAGGAAAACGGCGGTGTCCTGACTACCCAGGCTCTCTTTTCTATGAAGGTCCTCGACAGCTTTATGAGGGAATCCCAACGCATGAACCCGCTGAGCATGAGTTCGTGGTCCTTTAGTATGCTTATTCACGGTCATATACCAACTGACTCCTTCCAGCTCGATTCACACGCTACGTCGAGAAGCCCGTCACCCTACGCGACGGTACCCGCATCCCCGCCAGTGTCATCATCGAAGCCCCTTTCATTGCCATTACCCGAGACCCTGAGCTCTACCCGAACCCCGAGGTACTCTCCTCTCTCTTCACCTTTCTTGCCCTTTTGCTACATAGGCCAAGTGTCTATCCCTTACTGATCCTCGAGGAGCAGACCTTTGACCCCTATCGATTCTCCCGCCTTCGTAGTGGCCAGGCTAAGGATTCTATCGGGTACAAGAGCCCGGAACAGTACCAGTTTGTATCGGTTAGCAAGGAGAACCTCAACTTCGGCTTTGGGCGGAACGCTTGTCCGGGTCGCTTCTTTGCAGCCAATGAGATCAAGCTCATCTTGGCCCGTATTCTGCTGGACTTTGATCTCAAGATGCCCGAGGGCCGGACCAAACGCTACGAGAACCTTGTCATCGCCGGTGGTATCATTCCCGACACCAAGAATAAAATATTGCTCCGCAAGATTTCGCGATCGGAAAAGAATATCCACCATAGATAGTCACAGAAAAAAGATCTTATAGATATTGAGGGATCGAGCGAGCAGAAGTGACTTTATGATCTATTCTATATGCTAAATATCTAGCTAGCAGGCTACAGTTCGTGGCACCTGGCCCAGTGGATAACTAACAATACCTAGGTAGACTGTATGCTGAGTAGAGACGGTAGATGTTCGTTTTGTGGGTATCCGAAATAACGCGCCGAACCACTCCGTCCACCCCGTATGGACAGTGTCGTCTCATCTACACCTGCTCAACGTCCGGTCGAATGCTCGCTACTGACTCCCTCAACCTCTTGAAACCCTCAAACCACCGATCATCATAGCCTGTCATCGGCGGCAACCCTGCACTCTGCAGATCGCCATTGATCCAGTCCAGTATGTCATTCGCATACTCGACATCCCCCAAGCCCAGACCGTGGAGCTTCTTCCCTGGTTTCAGAGCCAACTTCCGCTCCCGATGCAACTTTGCCATGTCTTCTCGGGACGGTAATTGGGCCTGCCCGGTGAATACTTTTGCCAAAGCCTTCGCTTGAAAGTCAAAGAGTGAGAATGTCGACGCCTCCGAAGGCACACCAATAAACGCCAAAGTCGGGTCCGGGATATAGAATATGTCCTTGTGCAGGTTGTGCACCGTATAGGCATCGGCGGTGATGATGACCTTCTCATCCGCCTCGTCCAATGGCAGAGTGGGTTGTTCAAGGTCGCCCAGGAAGTGGTAGGTGGTAATGTACCCCGTAGCCACTACGACATAGTGAATACCCGTGAGCTCTCGACCCCCTGAGAGCACCACTCGTCCCGGAACTGGATCTGCACTGTCCGCCTTCCAGGCGGGTCCTGTGTCCTCGGCCAGAAATGTCTCGATACCGGGCACACGCTCGCAGCTGTCTGGCAATCCCTCGAGCTTTGCCTTGTCGGCCCGTTTCGGATCGCGCGATGACTGATAGGTCCGGCCCCCAACCGAGTGAATAGCATGGATGATGTCGTACGCCGACACACCGGCGCCGATGACCAGGACTGTGGCATCCTTGAACATGTCCGGCGTCCTGTAGGCCTTGGAGTGCGCCACACGGCCCGGGAATCTAGCTTGCCAAGTAGCAAGCCCTGGAATGTCGGGCACTCGTGGCACATCGTAGTGCCCCGTAGCGACAACCACAGCGTCGAAGCGGTTCTCTCGAATGTCGAAGACAAAAGAGTCTCCATCTCTAATGAATGTCTTGGTGCGCACATGCCACTGGGCAGACCCCTGAGGCTTGACCGCGCTCTCCACGCGGGTCCAGAACTGTATATGCGGTACCACATGCTGTGTCTTTGCCAATTCCCCAATATAATCACTGACCATGGCCGCGGTGATGCTGCTGGGCGTTCCTGAGGGCCATTCCTGCAGGCTAGTGCGCATCACTGATGTGTCGATGTTGTTGCAGAGTCCAGCATAGCACGGCGTGGGCGATGCATGGTAGATCGATGTTTCTTCGGTCGTCAGCCCGTCAGGGGTGAGACTATACTGAGATGCAGCAGCCGGTGGTGTCTGGTTGGGAAACGGAGGCGTCAACGGGGCACGAGGGTCAAACTTCCAGACACCACCTATGCTGCCGCTTCGCTCGAAAAGCACGACCTCGAGTCCGGCTTGAAGCAGATGTGCAGCTGCTGAGATGCCGCTGACACCTGCCCCAATGACTGCCACGGACTTGACATGTTCGAGACGCTGCCGTGCAGGTGTTGCACGGGGAATCTCTGGAGTTCCATCAGTGGCCATGGTTTCTCGGGGCGTCTAAGGAGCCGAATGGGTAATCAGTTCCCAGATCTGTTCCTGAGGGAAGCGAATGCAGGGTACCTTAAGTTTGGCACAACATCACCTTCGTATCGGACTTGATCCCAGCGGTTTGGATAGGGGGGTGGCTGGCCTTGTCCGATTGGCCTACCTACCTTGCCCATGTCACGCCATCGGACTCAACCCCCCATAGAAGTGCTCCGAGACGTGATACTCTCATCCATTCCAAGATTGTCCTAGACAAGTCCAGATTTATATTCATTCGCTAAAAGTAACTCTAGCCATATGCTGCGCCCCAAGGGGGTATCCCCAAATGATGTATAAGTCCCAAGGACCCGCCACGGGCGCGGGGTGCTCAGCGAGAACGGATGGTAAGTTAGACCTGTTGCTGAGGGTTTAAGGTTGTAAGGTCAGATAATGTTTATGGTGAGTAGAAGAGTTATAGTAATATATCACTTCGTTATATAAGAAAACAGAAGGTTAGACATAAAGCCGTTGAACAATCCAAGCAATGGCGGGTAGACTGCGGCGAGGAGACATTGACTATGCCACATACGGCTAGCTGGAGGTCACGTTTCGATTTAATGGTGGTCACAATAACCAGACTTAGCGACGTCCTGAGGCACACATCTAGCGTACTGGAGCTTCTAGCATCTGAAGAAGCAACATCGCAACTTGGTAGCCTTGAAGCTGTCCTCTTTCGGCCATTCCCACACATTGCGCGTCACTCATTTGAGCCTCCTCATTTTCTCACGACCTCACCGTTACTCTCCTCGCTATAGACTACGCAACAGACAAACCAAATCTCGCTCTTCCTAGTAAACAAATCTACTCTAACCTTGTTGACCGCTGCCCACCATGTCCCAGTACTACGGGGCACCGCCCAACAATCCCGCATACGGACCCTCCTCCGCCCAGAACCTTCAATTCTACCCGTCATCATACGACTCGGGCGTCTCAGGCCGAGCCACTCCCTCACAAGCATCCTATGGCTACGGTGGTCAGCCGTCTGGTGCCTACGGCGCACCGAGCGGCTTCAACTCGGGCTTCGGTGCAGCAGCGGGTGTCTCTGGACGCATGGGCGAGCAAGGAGGGCTCCGAACAGGATGGCTCGCAGCATTCTCGACAGAAGGATATGATGGAGAACCGCCGTTGTTAGAAGAGCTAGGCGTAAACTTCTCACATATTCAAGCGAAGGTAGGTCTTTGACTGTTCACAGGATTTCAGGGCAACTCAACTAACCCGAACTCGCAGACACTCGCCGTCCTTAACCCCTTCCAGCGCATCGACCAGCACCTCATGGACGACAGCGATATGGCCGGCCCGCTACTCTTCTTCCTCCTGTTCGGCACATTCCTGCTGTTCTCAGGCAAGGTGCACTTCGGCTACATCTACGGCCTAGCACTCCTTGGCTCCACGAGCCTTCACATAATCCTCTCTCTCATGTCGCCCGCCGACTCTCCCCAGGGCGCCCCCGGCGGCCCCCCGCCGTACTCCTCGTCCCCCGCCTATCCCGAGCACCCAGCGACTGTTCCGCCTCCGGGCCAGGGTGGCAAGTCGCACCTGTCGTCGACGTTGACGTTCGCGCGGTCCGCGAGCGTGCTAGGCTACTGCCTGCTGCCCATGGTGGCGACGAGCTTGGTGGGCATCGTGATGCCGATGGACACGCCGCTCGGCATCATCATGACCACCGCTGCCATCATGTGGAGCACATACTCGGCCAGCGGCATGTTCTGCGCGGTAGGACGCATGCGGGGGATGCGCGGCCTGGTCGCGTACCCATTAGCTCTTTTCTACGTCGGCTTTGGCATCATGGGCGTCTTCAGCAGCAGGGGGAGCGGAACAATGAAGATTGTGTCTGGTGGCTCGCTATGAGGTCGTCCAGCGACTTGTAGACATGAAACCGTTGGAGACATGGATGGACGAGCTCCCTTCTGGCCATATCCCAGACTCCTGTCGCAGACAGGGTAGAGCAAGCTTCTACAGTCCTGGGTGGCTGGAGTGGCATCGAGATATAGTTGATGCCATTGCTTGGGCATGCGGCAACTTATCGGTCAGCACAGCACCGCAGTGCTCAGCTACATGTCAATGGCAGGGCAGAAGACACTCTTCGAGACAAGAGATGGGAGGTCTTCGATGTACAGTAGTAATCTAATCACAGAAAGACAGATACCAATCATGAATGAAATGTCAAAAATGCTCAATTCTCAGAAAGACCTCTATACTGTGAACAATGCTTTTGCTCTGCAGGGGCAGTCCATGCTGTCGTCCCCTGATGCAAAATCCTGTGGCACATGAAAAGTGCCGCGTTGCCAGAAATAAAAAGTGAACCAGGCCGAACCTCCACAAGAGGTAGATAATATTACAACGGGACATCCAGGAATCCCTCAAGCTCTATAGCCGCCATCACATCCCCCGAAAAGGACGTATCATATCCTCATCTCATCATCCTATCCTGCGGCGAAGAAAATCGTTGCTTCCATCCATCCATCCAACCACCTTTTGTGACAGAAGCGAAGAAGTGCACTAAAAACAAATTTATCGAAGTGACTCGCTGAAATGAAGACGGTCGAAAAAGGTCTTATACATGTCGACTGTATGCTCAAATGTTACATAGGCGCGTCGAGAAGGGCAAAGATAAGAGAAGGCGTTGGGTTTAAACGCCGTTGACCGCGGGGCCTTCAGCAATGCTGGCCAGAATGGAGTACTGGCCGCCAGCGCCGGCGTAGACGAGCTTCTTGCCTCGCACGGCGGTGTTGTCGATGTGAGTTGGCGTCTCAATGTCATCGCCAGTACCCTGCCCAGTCTGGTAGTTGGCAGAGAAGCCCCAGGAGTATGCCTTTCCATCGGCAGTAATGGCGAAGCTGTTGTCAGTGCCAGCAGCAACGGACACGATAGACGGAAGACCTAGATGATTGTTAGCCTTTGCGTGCAATGATATTTGTAGCGACATGATCTTACCATCTACCACGGTGGGGAGCTTCAGGATACGGGGCTTTTGGTGCTCGTCGAAAATAGTGTTCTCCTCTGTAAACTTGTCTCGAGCAAGACCTGTCTGGTTGCCATCGATACGGCCCCAGGTGATGAGTTTGCCGTCCTCAGTGCAGGCAAGGGAGTGGTGCTCTCCCCCAGCGATCTCAATGATCTTATGGTTGGAGAGTGACTCGATGTGGGTAGGCTCAAGCACAACAGCGTCAGACTCGCCAGCGCCATGGTCAATGCCAAGCTCGCCAAAATTGTTTAAGCCCCAGGCGTAGACCTTGCCATCCTTGTCGATAGCGAAGCTGTGGTAGGATCCGCAAGCGATCTTCTCGATGACTGTGCCTCGCTTGAATGCTATTCCACCAGGGCGCAGCGCGGAGTCCTTGATATCACGCTGGACGCAACGACGACCGAGCTGATTCTGCTCGGGGGTGCCCCAGGTGTGGATCTTACCCTTGTTGTCCAGGGCCATAATGTGGTTAGAGCCAGCCGCAAGTCGGACAATCTTCTTTGGGTCTGATAGAAGAACCGGCTTCTTTTGGATCAGGATGGTAGGAGAGAATCCGAGAATGCCATCAGCGGCCTACAGTGGTTAGTAGACTGTTACGAAGCAAAGATTTCAAAAGGACACTTACTCTAAAGGTACCCCATCCGTAAACTCGGCCATCCTCGGTGAGCGCAAAGCTAGCGCTATCGCTCGCAACGACCTGGACAAACTTGGTATCTGGAGCAATGCCAGATGTGTCGATCTCAGCGGGAGTGCTCTCCTTAGGGTTCACGCCCGTATCATCCTCGTCATCTTCGTCGCTGTCATCGGCATCTGCGTCACGCAGACCACCATCCCAGTTAGTGTCACGCCCAAGAGCGCCCTGGTCATTGACGCCCCAGGTCAGGATTTTGTTGTCCTTTGTCAAGGCAACCACGTGCATGCCACCACAAGCAATCTGCACCACACCAATATCCTTCGCAGACAGGTTCGGGTTGAGACGAGGGCGCTTCACGTCAATAGGTTTTTTGCCGTCGGCACCTCGTTTGCTTCCCAAGCCGAGCTCACCAGAGCTTCCCTCGCCGAATACGTAGACATCGAGGGGGGCAGGAGGGGCTTCGTTGATCTTGACGCCAATCTTGGGCCACACCTTCTTGGGGACCGCAATCTTTCTTGGGGCAGCCTCCTTCTTCACGGCAGCAGGCTTCGCCTTCTTCGGGGCGGGAGCTTCGACCTGATCCTCGACGTCTTCGGCCTCTTCGGTTCGCTTGCGCTTCGCCTTCGCCTTCGCGCCAGAGGGGTTCAGGTTCTCTTTGTCGTCATCGACGGGGGCAGGGGTAGAGGTCTTCGAGGCGATGGCCTTCTTGGCAGGGGCAGTGGCTCTCTTCGTAGCTATGGCAGAGGTCTTAGACTTCTTCTTTGCAGGGGGCGCGACCTCAGACTGGGCTTTGCGCTTTCTGGAGGAGTTGGCAATGGGTTTGGTGGAAGTACCAGTAGAAGTAGCAGCGGCCTTCTTGGGGGCAGCTTTCTTAGCTTGAGCTGGAGCCTTCTTGATGGCAGCAGCAGATGTCTTGGCTGGCTTAGCAGCAGTAGCCGTGGAGGCAGCGGAAGCCTTCTTGGGAGGCATCGTGTATGAAAGGTTAGGCAGGTAGGTAGGAGGAAATTGGGGTTGGCGAGAGGTGCGAAAAGGTGAGTTGGGCGCGCGGGGTGCGGGAGAGCTCAAATTGAGGATCTCGAGAGCAGGGGAATTCGGTGAAAGGTAAATAATCGCAAATACTGATGAGGCCAGTGATGGATTGATCGTAAATCGATGATCAAGCCGTCGTCTTCGCGATGCTGAAGGTTGAGGTCAACAGGAAAGACGGAAGGGTCTGGAGGGATTTTTGTGGTGTGAGAAGCAGACGCGCAGGAGCGGAAGAAGGCATGGAAGTGGGCCGGTGTTATTGTTGCGTCAGGTAACCAGAGCTGTACTGGCAGCTCACTAATGTTTGTTAGGGAAGCCAAGCGTTAGCGCCTTTACTCAGGGCCGGATCCGAGAAAAAGTTCCTCACCGCCCGGGAACAATCACCCAAGCCCCTGCAACTCGACCCATATGGCCGGCAGAATCTGAGGGCGGTGGTCATAGCTTCATAATAGCTCCGATGCCCTCAAAGAAAAAGCTTCGGCGAGCGGCAGTAAACAAAGAAAGCATTTCCGAGAACGGTCGAGGGTTTGTGCAGCTGCCCAATTAACAACTGCATTGGAGTCACATGGATGATCACTTCGATTCCGTTTGCAGGCTTCCATTGTTCATCCAGATACCTAAGGTAGTCGAGGCTCTACAGTCTGATACAGTCTTTGTCCACGTCGTCCAGACCCTGGCGGTTCCAGGGCGGTGGCCATGACCCTTGCGAGAGATGCAGATGAAATCTCGATGCATCTCGTCCGTGCAATGCATGCATGCATGATACCACCCTCCAACACGATCACCGTTGAGAAATCTGCTACCAGTACTGTACAGATCAAAACCACTCCAGCTGATAGTTCAGCAGATGAATGCCATCGAGATCGGATAGAAGCCGTGATGTGAAACAGCTGTAGACAGGAACATAGCGGCTTCGAGACTATTTGTGACGAGGCTTGTTTCTCTTCCTCCTCGAACCCTCACTAGATCCATGATTGTTCCTGTTCCGGTGCCTTGCCGCGTTTGGTGAACCTGCATTTTCCGCTTCAGCAGTCTGCTCCGGAGTTACATCCTCGAGACAGGCGTCATTTGCTGCAATTGGGTTATTTTGAATGTGAAGCTCTCTTGCCGTAGCTTTAGAGTCGTGTGTAAGGCTCCAGATTATGCGAGAAGGGAGAGAGAGAATCCAAGCCATCATAGCACAAACCCGCTTCTAGAGACAACGCGTGATAGCCTGGACCTGTCTGAGAAACCACTCTGGATCATGATAACGGATGCGATAGCGGTGATCCTCTCTAATGCTGGCTGCTATTGCCGCAGCAAATACACACAAGGCACTTCCAACATAGCCCAGTGCGTACAAGATTTTCCCTGGAATAGACCTCGGTCTGGTGATGATAAATCGGAAGATTCTGTAGACATAATGCAAGTGCTTCCAAGTCTTGTAACATAATGCAATTGAGGTGATCTGAACAGCGAAGTTGCCACATTCTCGGAGTGGTACAAACAAGATGCTCTCAAGAGACCATATAATGAGATTCCAGCTACCTAGTGCGATCTCAAGCGGGTATTGAAGCACCAAAAGAATTGTATTGACGATGCCGAGGAAAGTCAGAAGGCAGTATCCGTAGAGTCGAGCTTCCTCGCATCGTGCCAAACCACAGATATACTCGGAGTCAACTGTCGAGTTGACGTATCGAGTCGACAAGAAGTAGTGCTCTTCTGTTCCGACGAGAAAAGTTCCGAGTGTGACCCAGATCACAACGCGGGCGACCACCCAAGCCAAGTTCCTGTCAAACGCCATCTTGCCAAAACGCCTCGCCTCACAGGGCCTTCCTGGCCGTTCTTAACAATCGATCCAGAGTATAATAACGAAGGGATGGACGAGAAAGAAGACATCTACTTCTTGGTGGTGAAATCTACCTCGTGCTCGGAGGGGTTGAAGCTGCCATCAGCAGCCTTCTCGCAAGTACAGGCACCTGCGATAAGAAAGTCAGTAAGCACTTCTGAGCCGAGTCAATCTCGTGACAGTGTACTCACCAGCAGCTCGGGAGCCGCATGCGCAGGTAGATCCCGCGGGCTTGGTGTTCTCGGAAGTGGCACGATCGCAGGTGCACTCGCCAGCCGGACGAGCACGGCACGAGCAGCGGGGTCCGGTGACGGTGTTCTCGGCTGGGGCCTTGTCGCAGGTGCAGTGGAGAGCAGACTGCTTGCCGCAAGAGCACTTAGCTTGCTGAGCTGTGAGGTAGAAATGATACGTTAGCCTTATTGCGACCAAAGAAACTGTGGACAAGATGTGTTTTGGGTAATGGACGGTTTGCGCAAGAGAGAAGTGGAGGTAGAGGCGACAGGGACATCGAATTTGGACCTTTGCTTACCACAGACACATTCGGAACCCTTGCCGCAGCAGGTGGAAGCCTTGTCAGTAGCCATTGTTGCTGTTTTTTGTCGATGTGGTGATTGGGTGGGAAAGGGCTTTCCGGAGATCGACAGGTCGTGACTGGCGGTTTGTGCAATAGGTGGAAGTAGCTAGAACGCGGGCAAAGTCAGCAGCAAGCTCAAGAAAGGGAAAATACATGCTGTATCTCATTCACTTACTGTACTAGAAGAGAAGTGAACTTCAGATATTTTAGAGATGATGTTCGTGAAGATCTGTCTTCTTGGACAGTCAAGGGAGGTGCAGGCTCACTTATTTATCTACTCGAAAGCCATGGGCTCACATAACGTCACACAGGCATGCAGACTTGACGGCGAACTACTAAAGGGTGGTAATCACAATCGTTGTTATTGGCTGAAGATGGCCCCACCTTGAAAGTCTGGCCAATGGGCAAGCTCCCATTTGAGGCCTTCCCGATCCCCTTGCCCCTTCCCACGCGGCAATCCCTGCGCCTGCCCCAGCTTTTTTTGGTCTCTACAACGGTCTAGGCTGAACTCAAGCTCAAAGATCAGATCCTAGTCGCACGATCATGAATAAGGGTTTTGTTGATTGGGCACTGCCGGAATTCATTACGTTCGCATCAGACATTGAGGGCTGTTTTCATGTCCACCAGCCCATCAGAAAAGTGGTTTGAGAAACCCGGAACCTCAATATGTCTCCATTAACCGTCTCGGAATGTTTTTTTCGAACCAACTTGGCCAGTCACCCTGGACACGTAGACCTGCGATAAGTTTAGGGAGTGGCCACGTCCGACTAGCTTAGTTCAATATCGAAACAAACTTCTAGATTATCATTACTACATGCTCTAACCAGTCTTGCCCGTCTCCGAAGAGTTTCATGCACCATTGCGTCTGTCCGTTGTTGGGCTCGCAGGTGGACTTTGAAACGATCCACCCAGGCCAGATCTAGAGACAGATCGCTGTTGGGAGCTCCTCAGTGACACCGGACCCGAGCCTATTGACGGTCGCGAAGTGTGGCTGATGCTATCGGTTCTGGCTCGGCTTAATCTCGCATGACCATTCGTGTTAGCTGTTGGTGGAGGCCTGTTACTTGCGGTCTTTTTTGGAGTAAAGACTGCCTTTTGTGTAGATACAAGGACATAGCCATCCATGAGGACTTTCTGGTCCCAGAGAATCCGCGGAAACAGCTGTAAAAGTGGCTCTGGTTCTGTCCCACGCCTCTCATGCTCAACAGCCTCTGCAAACGTGATCTTATCATCGTCGTAGTCTGCTTCCATCCACGAGTCGATGTTCGGCGAACAGTCAGCCACAACTCTAGAAATGCTCCACTTCAAGGGGGACCAGATGCGAATGCCTTCTTTGCAGAGAGCACGCAGACGAGCTTTGAAATCGGGGAGCAGATCCGAGTCCGCCAGCATTGGATGAAGCGGGTTCACGCATTCTCTCACAGCATTCTCAATCGCCATGTTGTGTGTTTTCTCATCATTCTGCTCCTCTGCATACTCTGCAAGCAACTGGCATCTAACGATGTTCTGCCTCTCTCCCCTATCAGAAGAATGAGGTTCAAACAAGTCCAAAATTGCTCGTATTGACCATTGGACATTGGGCTGTTTAGGAAAAGGAATTTCCGCGAAGATGTGATATGTTATTGCACTTGCAATGACAGACTCAGCGAGAGCGCACCTCGTTAAACGAGCTGCCAAAGATGTAGAAGAAGAGAGGTGAAGTCCTTTGGGTTCTGATATTTGACTCTTGACATCATCAAGAACAGCCTGTCATTATGATAAGTGATCTGTGAGCTTGTCCCCATTAATCAGACATACCTCTGTGATATTGTGTAGGAAAAAGTCCAGTGCAAGTTGGTGGCACTTTTCTGCGAAGTCTTCGAATTCTTGCTTGCTATAATCGAGACCGATTAGAAGACCCTCTTGAGACCAGATCAAAGCAAAACTTACTAGTCGGCAAGAGAAATATCCTCAAGTTTGTTCAAGCCAAGGTCATCATGGAGTTCTTGTTCCCGCATTACACTTGTTCGAAGTTCCAGATCTAGTCGCTCGCGTTCCTTTTCCAGAGACTTGAGGCGGCTCTTAGTGTTGTCTAATTCGGCTTTGCAGACGTCCAGATCCTTCTTGACATCTTCATTGACCTGCTTAGCCTTTTCGTATCGGTCATTAGACTGTTCCAGCTCGGCCATGACTTGCTGGAGCCGTTCTTGAAGAGTCTCGTGATTCCCCATTTTCTTGATGAAGTCGGTGTACTTTGCGTCAAACTCGTCCCACATCCGCTGCTTGTGGGTGTTAAGATCACTTATTTCCTTTTCAAGCGACTCGATTTTCTTGTCCTTGTCATCAATAGCGATCTTTGATTTCTCGTCCTTCTCGTCAATTTGTTTCTTCAACGAGTCAAGGTTAGCTACAATTGATTCGTGCTCTTCAAAGCCGGCAGGGTCATCTTTGATCTCAGATACCAGAGTAAATATCTTTGACAATATCTCACAAACACCCTTGGCTCCTTTTGACGGCCGCTTGGGAGTCGCAGTCGAATTAGCGCCGTCCTTCTTCTTTGTGTCAGACATTATTGTGGATAGCGATATTACAGGTCCCCATAAGGAGAAAAACTCTCAGACATTCCGACGAAAAAGCAGCACATTTATGACTGCCATTGTGTGAATGCTTTGTGTGTTCATACGCAATCGCCCAATGACATGGCGGGCTGCCGAAATAAGGCGATCTCGATGGCCTCCCGCATACTCGATAAGCGATTGCGGCGAATCAGCATTGCCGGTCAACAAACGGAGGGGATCGCATGCGGCGGCATGACGGCCAACGACCCAATGCCGATGGACAGTCACATCGCAAACGCGTCGATAGCTGTTGCTTGCAGGAGATGATGTGGCTTCCGACTGCATGATTGTCCTAAACAATTCTTGACGCAGATGACTTGTCAAGGCGAGGCTGTCAATTAGCGGACGCTATTCGTCCATTTGGAGGCCCTTGAATCTCATCATGATGGTTCAGATATGACATGCGAACTCGCCAAGCTGAATCGTGGCTCCATTCAGCGAGCCGCTCGTTCCAGAGTATCGCCGGCTTGTTGTTCACCGGTTGATGTGTCATCTCGCTTCTGATCTTTCCCAAAGAGATATATTTCAACAGTTTGCGGCTCTGCGGCGGAATGTGGGAGGGGTAGTGTAACGCTCTCTAGCACGCGCCAACCAGCTGCTGCGATCAATCTCCATGCCAGCTCCTCAGACGAGTGGCGCTGCTTCGTTGCCAGCAACACGTACGGGTTGGAAGTAGTATTAAGGTCGCCTGACCCATTCCCGTTCACAGATCGTTGGTGAATGGTCGAAAGCGTCTTGACAAGAGATGGAATGGAGTCAACATTGTAGGTGCAATCGCTCACGATGACTAAGTCCCATGGTGTCCTTGCTACATCCCCGTCTTCACGTAATCCTGCCTCCCAGTCAAGGCTCTCGAATCCCAGCCGGACTTGGCCAAAAGAGGGTCGTGAGGCCATGAATTTCTGAAGGCGTCGAACATTGGACATTGCTCGCTCTTCTGCGTCCTCCAAGTCCGTGAGAAGGATGTAATCCTGACCTTCTGACAGCCATGGATGCATATGCAATATGGTTGCAGTCCCCAGGCCAAAAGTACCCACACCACATCCCAATTCCACAATGTTCATCGGCTTCCGTTTGTACACGAACATTTCCTTAAGTAATGGCATGTTGACCTCGCTCTGCCGCGGGAATCTGTGTAGTGGAGCACAGAGTCCAGCGAGCATAGACACTGCGACAACTCCTCCATCCCACACATGGCGGGCCATGCTTTCACCAAGATCTTCCTCGATCTCGAGAAAGGTGTCTCCATAGGTGTAGTCAAACACCTCCAGCCGACGAATTGAGATGTGAGACGGCCCGCTAGCAGGGAGCGGCATCTGGGCAATGATGGGCATGATGTGGCCATGCTCGTCGTAGGGGATGGCCTCCACATCGGACGAAGATCGAAGATGGTCGGTGGCCGCGATGCAGAGACTAGCAGACCCCCCGAGTCTCGATACCTCCTGCAGAATTTGCCGAGGGACGCCCAAGTTCAGCTTTAGTACTCTCATGCCCGCGCGCCAGACGCAGGTCGACTTTGCGCCGACAATCCGGTCGCTGAGGTCCACCAGCGTCTGCTTGCCATTTCCATTGTTCAAGTCAATGAAGACGGACACCTTGACCGGCTTGTCAGGGCAAAATTCAGCATCGCTCAAATCCGTGTTGATGGTCAAAACAAGATTCAGTGTCGTCCCACCTCTAGAGTCGGTGAGGTTTGGTGGCCTCAGCAGCCGAATGTAGTGCATCTTCAGGTGAATGGAAATTCTCGTCCAGTACAGCGACCAAGAGTAGATCTCGTAGTCAGCCAAACTTAGACTCCGATTCAGCCGCTCGTACCTCGGAAAGATTCCCCCTTCGCCCCTGGTTCCGACTGTCGGCGCTGTTTGATTTCTCGGTTTGTTGTGTTGTTGCAACTATCTTTTTCTACTGATTTCGCAGCATTCGATGCGCAAATTTGGCAAATTCATAATTTGTGAACACAGATCGTTAAGCAAGTACATGCACTGTAAAGGCGGTTGGCAGCAGAGACCCATATTGAATCCACTATATCAACCGTCTAATCCGCTAAGCGACAGGCTTGACTGTACCTTAGTAACAGCTTTGAAAATTCGACCCTGCCATAGCAATCGAAACAAGAAGTTTTGTCAAAACCAAGAAGCAAATATCTCGAATCGATAAAAATATGTTGAAACCGCAACGATCGTACACAGTCATCCGATCATCGACAGGTCGTCGACCAACCGGAGAACCGCCGGTGGTAAACACGGAGCACGGCAGCTCTCCGGTTTGTGGGTCTCGGGATGAAGCTCTAGCGATTCGGGCACCCTTTTCTTCCCCCGAATTTAAGTCTTTCGGCCGTTAGCACAGCATCTGCAGGGAGTCTCTGTAGTGAATGCGGTCGTGAATGAGTTCTACCCGCTGTTATTCTCAGCTTCGGAGGTCGCCGCATGTCGTGGCCGCCGGTTCTCCATTAGCGGCACGGTTGGCGCCGACGGCATTGACGATTGCACTCGAATGATGGAGGGATAAAATGCTCGTGGCATCCACGATGTTAACCAAGTGCAGCCCTCTTGATCTTCCAGCAGATAAGAATATTTAAACAGCTGAGACCTGCCACTCCTACAGCATCAATTGTCCCCCTCAATCAGAACAGATTTTTGACTCGATCATTTGCCCTGACATTTTCGGTCTCTTCCATACCAGGTTGGATCAAGTCTGTCGTCTTATAAATTTCAACCAAGCGTGTCTCAAGCTTAACTAGCGGCTTCGTCTCTAAAGATTGAACGGTATCCCGTTATCACGTCTTCATTGTGTGGGAAACAGGCTGATATTGTATCTTAGTACTGTATTGTCGGTTGTTTGTCCAAAAATATTTGCTTCAAGAGCAACAGTGCAGTTTGACGATATCAGGGGGTGACGATCAGCCATCTCATTTTAACCTGGATTGGCAATACTCGAACTTCCAATCGGATTTCGAACCTAATCATTTGTCTTCCTGTTCATTGAATAGTTTTCGCAACAAAATGGCTACTACAAAGCACTCACCCGCTACTCTTCTGTCCGCTATTCTGCGCATCACAGAGGAGAAGATTGTTCCCCTGACTGCGAAGGGTGTTTCCTCGGGCAGCAAGTTATTTGGTGCTGCTGTGCTCTCCCGGGAAGGACTTTCACCACACACAGTCTCAACCAATAATGAGAAAGTGTCCCCCCTGCTTCATGGCGAGATCAACTGTATCCAGCAGTTCTTTGCTTCACCGTCAGAGGGCCGTCCTGCCACGAAAGACTGTGTCTTCTTCGCGACTCATGAGCCTTGCTCCCTATGTCTGAGTGGAATAACGTGGGCTGGCTTCAACGAGTTCTATTATCTCTTCACATATGAGGACTCGCGAGACCTATTCGCCATTCCGTACGATATCGACATCCTCGAGGAGGTCTTCCGTGTTCGGGCGCCGTCCGACACCGACGAGACGCTCACTGCCCGGCCACTGTACAACCGTAAGAATAAGTTCTTCACCGCAAAGAGCTTGTCAGACCTAGTCGAGGAGATCGAAGACGCCGACGAGAAAGCGAAGTGGTCCGCTGAGATCAAGAGGGTAAAGGAGCTGTACAATTCTCTGTCCGCCACATATCAAGAGGGAAAGAAAGCGGGCACTGAGAGCGCCAGCGTATGGAAATAAGCATTGAGAGGGATTGAAGGGCTTTGTTGTCTTCCCCAATGTTCATTTGAAGACATTGCTCATAGCCCCAGGCGCCCTCCTCCGGCCGTGTGTCTTGTTTCGCATGCTATCACCACAGCAGACATCTTGCACGACTAAGCAAGGCCCACGCCTCGTGGGCTTCTTGACCACTAAAGCACATTTTTGTCTAAAATATTTTCTTACTTGTGGCTGCCTTGAAGCTTTTATTTTCTCCTTCTTTTCTTTCCTATCCCACAGCCAAACCAGCTCTGGAGACCTTTGTGCGTCGAGGCCGCCTCGATTCCATCAAGTCGCTCTCTTGGCTTCATCTTCTGTGGCTTGCCAGCTGCTAATCCTATCGTGCAAGCTATTTCTTTTACTTGATTTATCAATTCAGTCCTTTCGTCGAAGCGTCAGATACCCGTTGCTTCACGTTCGACCGCAGGGATCGGTCGTTCTTATTAACTCAGCTACCACAACAGCTGGAAGCTTCCTCTTGCACGGCTCAGATTCAGCTTTGCTTCTACTTCGAGATCTTCAGGCTTATAAAAATCCAAGATGTCCTCTAAAGCAATCCGCAAGAAGAGTGTGAGTGGTCCTGGGATGATCCTGGACTTTTGCCATGCACAGGCACTAATGAAGTGGTTATTCAGGCGGCCATGAAGGGGCATCAGGATGGCTTGGGCGAAACTGCCGCAGGTCGCCAGGTGAACCTCAACATCTCCCAGGATTTGGCTACCAGCGGCAAACCTACCAGTGCTCCTGCCAAAGAGAAGGCTCCTGAGACAGCTACCGAGAAGACCCCTGCAGCTGCTGAGAAAGCTTCTACTTCACTTTCTAGCCAACCGGATCAGCGCCGTCCGCCAGAGTTGTACAATTACTCCAACTACGGCGATCTCCCTGAGGACGTCGTGTTCGTCCCTGATCTTCCCCGACCCGTCAAGATGTCTCTCAGCACCGAGAGTGGCAGCAAGTCCGCTGCCGACGATGAGCGCGACGCTGACGCGCGTTCCACTGACGATACAGCCGTGTTCGTGGATGCCCTGGAGTACCACGAGCACCCGATCAACACCATCATCAACTACTTGGCTTCTAGTGCCGAGACGATAACTAGTTATCAGCTGTGTGCCAAGGCTCCGCGTCCCTACAACTCAGCTGAAGAGGACGCCTTGTTCCGCCCGACTACAGCCCTTAAGTACGCCATCGCACGCTACGTTCCACAGTGGGATGAGGAGCTCCTGGGCGCCGCTGTCCCTGAGGACGTCAACTACGATGATCCGCCCGAGGAGCTTGACTACAAGTTGCTTATGGCATCCGTCTGCACGGGTGATAAAGCTTGTGGCGGTATCGTCTGGCTCTACAACAAGAAGATGTTGAACGCTGTGAACATCCATCCTCAGCACTCTTCCTACCTCAAGCTACACCACCTCGCCTGCTGCACCATGCTAGTCAAGGTTGCGTCTTCCTTTGTCCCAGAGCAGGAGTGGCGCGCCGCGCAGCTCGGAATCAGCGTCACGTTCTCCGATCAGTCCAAGTTCAACATTGCCCGCAACGTCAAACTCAATGAGATCTTCTACCCCCTTGTCAACGGCAAGCCGGCCGACGGTCCGCCCCCTGGCCATCGCCCCCACGAGCTGGAGATGAGCTACGAGGTCGGCAAGCTGTGCGCCGCAATCTCCGCCCTCCGCATCGTCGAGCGCCGCATCGTCCCCCTGCGTCTTAAGATGCTCCTCGACAGCTTCCACGGCGACCGCGCCCGTCCCGACAAGACGCTCGGAATTCAGGAGTGTGGCCAGCTCCGCGTCATCCTCATGACAGACTCCAAGTATCTGGTGAAGACGATGTGCGATCACATCTCGCGCTACCACAAGCGGTTCATCCCTGAGGATGATGACAAGGCGCTGAAGAGGCTTGCCGCCATCGACAAGAAAGCCAAGAAGGATGGCAAGGCCGTACTGGTCACCGGCAAGTGGAAGGCCGCCGCCGGCCGCGAGCCCAGCGGCGACAATTGGGAGTATCTCCGCGTCGACGGCAAGAGAATTCACAACAACCTTGCCATCACGGCTCTCGAGGCGCAGATCGAGCTGCTGGCCAAGATGGGCGTGCAGGTGAAGTTTCTACTGGCTCCCAAGCAGTTTGTCCGCGTGGCTCAGGGGTTTGCCGACAGAATGGTCGAGATCAGCCCTGAGAAAGAGGCAAAGTTGAAGCGAAAGGCGGAGAAGCTGAAGGCAAAGGCTCTCAAGGCCGAAGGTAAGTCTGGAGGCACCGACATGGAGGCTACCAGCAGTGATGACAACGAGGATGACGACCAGATTAAGGAGAGTGCTAAGGAAGGCTGGGTTTCTATCAATTTCAGCCCGGTCAAGGGTAGCGGATACAAGTAAATGTCACTTTGGCTCTTGCCATTGGAGGATTGTCTTCACCTAGTTAGCATACGAGCCAAATTGCACGCGCTGTAGGCGCCCGAGGATCCCTCCTCGTCAATGAACCGCAGTCACAGTCACTGTAGATACCCTGAATGCTTCTGTGAATGCCACATGTGACCTCGCTTATCCTTCGCCATATCGTAGGAACCTGTTTAAGCAGACAGCACTCTAGAAGGTCCCGTCCATCGGCATGGCCGAGGCATGGGAAAGTATTCGTATATTCAAGGGCAGTGATTGGGGAATGTGCGAGCAAGTTTTAACATATTTCGAACACGCATGTAAGCTCGGAGAGAAGTTCACCAGGAGAAATGTGAGTCACGACAGTTCATTCAAGTGTAATCTATTAGACGAGAGAGGCTACAGCTACCGGACATCGTGGAGCAAGTATCACGGTGGATGCTACGTGAATGCCAGGATCACGTTGACCGCGATCGAGGTCATCGACGAGGTTGAAAAGAGGTGATCGCACGACTCAGGCAACAGGAATGCTCGCCTCAGGGTAATCAGGACGTCGAGGGATATCTCAAGGCATCAACGCAACGACGAGTACAGCTCTGAGCCATGTCCCAGAACGGCAAAGCAGCCGAGCTTCAAGACTCACCGCGTTCACATGATGCAGTGCTGCTGCATCATCTCGGACGTCAACCCTGGTGTTCATCCCAGTGCCGCAAGCACGGTATAGAAGACGCAACATCAGACATCATCAGCCGGGGGAGGCTCGTCCTCATCGACCGACGATTCGCATAGAATGTACCATCAGGAGGCGTGTCCGTATCGTCGTTGGCATGCGGTACAAGTCCATGAACCCGGAAACATGTACCATGATCGCCGATGAGTCCAACTCAAGAGGTAGGCTGTGCATTTCTGCAGAGAAGCATATCGAACATCGAGAGTCAGGGAAAGCGGGAGGCGGCTGATAATATCCCCGTCTAGCGTGTCTTCGCTTGCAAGGGCCATGTCGTAGATGTCTCAGTGGCTGCAGCCATGGGAGAAACGCGTGGGCATGTGATTCAGCCTCCAAACGTCGACTTGTCGGACACCAACGAGCGACCCGGCCTTCCAACCAACCATCGTGCGATGGCATCAGGGCAGCCCCGTCTTTCCCTCCCAATGTCCGGTAAAAACGGCCCTCACCATGGCTGCCTACATTCATACGCCACTTTGCTATGTGAGAGGTCAAAACATCGAGCAATGTCACAAAGGGAAAGTGGGAGGGAGAAGAGCATTCGTCACGACTTATTTGCCTATTCACATCGACTTTGATACTGGTGTGGCGAAGCCGTGGTCGCGCAAAGGTGCGATGTGTAACTGGTGCAAGCCATCGAGCCGCTAGGATCATTCGTAGACCAAAGGACCAAAGGAGGGCGCCGTGACATCGGAAGCGAAGGAGGATGTTGGAGGTGTGAGTCACGGCCGAAAATGAAACGCGACGGGAATCAAATGAGCGTTTTATTGGGCTGCCAATACTGTCATAGCAGGCATTGCTTCGCAAGAGATCCTTGCAGAACAGAATACATGTGCACAAATTCACGCTCGTGTCCAGTGATTCCTGATGCCCAAGGCGGCGGGGTGGACGTGTGGACGGACGTGTTGACTCAACGCCTGAGGTTGACGCATTTTGCCTCAGGACACGCAGGTACCCCCACAGCTCCGCCACCTCAACATTCGGAAGGTACCTTGACGCAGAAGGGGTGCGCGTATCATTGAATCTCAATTTGATGCATCGAAGAGCAGATGACGTAGTTGCCGACGGCGTTAGTGAGTCTATCGAAGGTCTCCCCAGACTTTGGACATAAGAAAAGCTTGCGTGGTTGCTATTTGCCAGTGTTGTCGAAGGTGGTGGAAGAGTGCTGATCTACTGTAAGAGTCGTGAAACATCGGAATCTTTCTTAGAAATCCGGGGTGGCGGTGCCGCCCGAAAGTCAAAAGCCACAAATCCCAGAGATTCGGAACCACGTGACATACGTGCAGGGGTCCCCTGGCTATCCCCTGACACTCAGAACGGTATCATGCAAATTATTTGCAAAACAACAAGATGATGGAATAATTCGGTGGTCAATTCAAGCAATACTATTCTATGCCTAGGAACAGATATAAGGGCTGGCTGTGATCGTCCATCGAAGATTCGTGATTATCAAGTAAAGCCTTAAAACATAGTTGATTCCATCGCCGATTACGTTGAAATTTGTTATTTGAAAGAAATGTGAAAGTCTTCAAGCTGGCCTATCAGTACCTTGGTGCAATCACACTCGTATGGCTTGCAATACAAACACGACTTTCCGCCGACCTTCACTTGAGCAGATTTGACATTTGTAACCGCCCATCTTCTAATCTTGCCCACAGTTCTCTCATTCAGATCAGGACCTACTAGGTAGAGGAAGAGGTATCAGGCTCAGCAGGGTTCACCGTGCTGGAGAACATGATGAGCTTGTGCCACCCTCAATACCCCGATTTCTCCAAGCAACTGGGCTAACCAAATACCTAGATCTTGAGGTAACCGGATTTAAAACATCTCAATACTCAAACAACTAACAGAGCCAGTTGGAATGCCAGCTTTGCGGTGTGGTATTCAATACCGCAAGGATCCGCACTCGTGATGAACCGCCAGAAGCTGCCTGGGGTCGAGACTACAAGGACCACGGGCTGACTTGGGTTGGTCCTCCTGATTACGGAGATACATGTTCCAATACATGTGTCCTTATTCACAGAGGACCACTGGCACACAGAGCTGAGTATGAGCCTATGTATGGGTTTTACATGGATGATTCAAGAGATGGGGATTACGAGCCTGAGATCGAGACGAACGATGAGGCACTGGAGTACGACTCTCATGTGAGCGATGAGAGTGACAACTCAGAAGTAGATGCTGTCAAATGTTCTGGAAACATGGATTCTCCGGGGTCAACTTCAGCATGGACATTTTCGGTCTCATGCCCCGAGCCATCAACTGCGATTTTGCCTTTATCTGTGGCCGACTACTGGAACGAAAACGAGTATGAGCACATAGTAGGCCCTGACTGTGAGCATACTGGAGGCTATCATGGGGACGAGACTTCTGTTGAACAGATCAGAGGCTGTACAACGGTCCAGTGTCTCGTTGCCAAACGAGAACATTGGCGACCGTCCAACGATGATCTGGATTTCGAGAGACACTCCGCATATCACCTCACCGGCCTTGCCGATTGTAAATGGCTGAAAAAGACCAAATTAGCTCCCGTTCGTCATGGAGTAGACCAGATTGCCGCTGCATATGGAGCGCAACCATCAGGAATAATCAAATTTGCATTTAACCCCATCCTTCGCTCCGATCACTGATGTCGCTAATCTGTTCGTTCAGATGAACAACCCGGACAACCCGTCAGAATTCGGGGCAGTGTTTCACCCTACGTGCTTCGAGTTATTCAAAATCATCAGCTGTCGTCGGATAGGTCGTGTTGACGCTGATGGGCTTGTGGACCTCTGCAAGAAGCACAGGATTTGGTCCGATTGAAGGCTTCTGAACGACATCAGGACGTCAAGAAGGCCACGGCGCAATCCCAAATACCCACCGGTACACTCAACTGACGACTATAAATCCAAGGCGCAACAACGACGACTTGAAAACACCAAATTGGAACCCATCAGCCTACCGCTCGAAAAGACGAACTGGTATCAGCTGTATCGAGATGTGACCCTCAAGTGGAAGGACCTCAAGGGGCTGAGAAATTGGGCAAGAATTTGGGATGATATAAGCCAGATTGTGGGCAAGATCAAGGACGGTCGAAGGAAGGATAATGAGGATAATTGGCAGCTGGATGCTTCTCAGAACTGAGAGCTTAGTACCAAAGCTTCTAGTAAACCTCATGTCATCATAGAATGATCACGTGTACCCGACACAGCCACATGTCCCAAGGATCCGGAACGAGGTGACTAAGTGACGTACCGGGGCCGGGTGTGCGGCCACTAAGCATAACTATGGTTAGGCTCGCACATGTAAGTCGCGGCTTGGAGCGATTGGAGCCCAACGCCTCCCTGCTGCTGCTGCTGCCCGCTGCAAGTGCACTGCGGATGCGTCTTGGCTCTGCCCATGCTTAATTTCGTAGGGCACCCGTCGTCCTGTCACGGCATGGGACACCGAGAAGCCCTGCATTGCGAGGCCGGGAAGGCGATGCAAGTCGACGGGACTGAAACGACCCCTCATTGTCTTCTCTCCTTTTGCTGCGACTGCCTGGTGTTAGTCGGCGCATGTGTAGCCCACTTGGAGGAATCCATTTGCGTGGGTTTCACGCTTCCTTCTTACAGGACTCGGAGGCTGAGATGTCGGCGCTGCTGCCTTCAGAAAAGGGGGCTGTCACGGCGAATACGGTCAGTGACTAACAAGACATTTTCTGCAATTGGTTGGCGCTGCTCGGCGAGGATTGTAGGCCTGGGGCGATGGCATCTGACAGTCTCTCATCCGAGACTTGCCATTCGCGAAGTGTCAAATGGGTGTAATTGCCCGGGTATCTAGCTATCTCATTCTCGCAGCCCCCAAATCAAGAATCGACCAAGGAGAAGTGGCCAGGTGAGCAACAGGCTGTGACCTTATCTCAGGGGTGGTTTCGCAAAGCTAGAAGCCGAAGAAAAGAACAAATCGCAAGAAAATACAGAGACGTGCTGTTTCGTCATTTACACGTGCGAATAGACGAGATGCCTTTGAGTGGACTGTTCTTGGGTGCTTTATCTTGACGCTGAACTGGTGAAGATACATAGCAACATCTTGACGATGTACCAAGGGGTGTGTATGCAAGATTTGGACTTCTGTCAACAAGACATGTAGGGCGAACAGTTCCACAACTCACCTCTACACCATGGCAACCGCCTACCCATGCATCGTCAGAGGTGTGGGAAAGGGGGATTTACAAAGCAGCAGCAGCCGGAAGCCAGGCCCGCTGCGGCAAGTGTCTGTTTGGTTATGCAAAGGATGGATCCCTGGAGCG